TCATTGAGGAGCAATGTCACACATTGCATGTCGTGCATCCTAACATTGACATAATCGCGAATTTGATAATCCAGATGAGTCACGGAGGCTTACTTAAATAAAAGATAAAGGCAGTTTGCGCGTTTACACTAAACGTTCAGGGCAATGTGAACAAGTAACTAGCTCACGCGCTGATTTGTTCCGAAAATCTTCGTTCATAAGTATCAGTATCACTTGAACATTTTCCATCGTCACGTTCGATGCTGGAAGTACTTTATCAGCGATGGCGTTATCTGTGCTAATCTTTGCAATGATAACGCTCGGGCAGGCGCCTCATGAACAGATTGCGATAACGCTGACCAGCGCCATATATGGGCGAGCGTATTCGCCTTTTTTTTGGGTTTTATTTAATAAAGATTGTAAACATGACGTCACTACGGTTGGACATGACATGCGATACTAATTTAGTTATCGTTGACGATCTGTCGGCGCAGTTTCTAAGCGTGGACGGTAACTCAATTTCCAACAATTACTATCACCTTCAATTGATTCGGACTTGGGTGACTTTTTATCTTGATTTGTTTACGTAAAACGCCTTTTTATAAAGGCGTATAGTAATATCTTTCTGTTGGCCAAATTACGATGCTTGGCGTAACGTCGTTTTAGAAAGTTTTAATAACTTTTTGATATATTTTGTAATGCAAAGGATACAATTGATATTTTATGATATTCTAGCCAAAGGAAAATAAGGATATACTATCGCCCTAGATTATAATTAATCACAGACTTGACGATATCTAGTCCTTCAGCTCACCAACCACCTTACGGTGCCGTTGAAAGTTCAAACCCACTTTTTACTTTCACTTCGAACAGGAGTTCTGTCCTTTCCACCGTTTTTTGTTTCCTGTTTTTTTTTTCTCTCTCGACTGTCTCAGAGGGCAGATTTTCGTAGGCTATGTCTCAATGAAGAGAAACTTAAATAATGATTATGCTATAGCCGGAGTGGTTATATAACCGTGATAAACCAACTTAGATAGACCAACTAGTTTCGACACTATTTTTTGAGTTCTTTTTTTAGTTAAACTACATATTTCCATTTTTTGCAGCGTATGACCATCATCCTATCAGATCTTATCGACGCCATATTAAAAGTAGTCAAAATCATTCGATAACCACTATCGACCACTCTGCTCATTGGAATGAGTGGAATGGGCCATTGATTGATTGTTGTTTATTGTGTTTACGTTCAGATATTTTGTGTCTATTGGATTTCGATATGGCGACAATGATGATATGTTAAGTTTTTTTTTTTAAATATAGTCTGATTTCTTACACTTGTATGGTCACTTTTTTATTTAAAGTTGTTGTCACATTTAAGACGGCGTACAGGAAAACATCTGTCGGATCCATCCGCTAGACTATATATAAAATAAATTTGATTACAGTTACCGTTGCGCCACGATTAAGTAATTTTCTTTGTTTTCTTTTTTCTTTTGTCGACTGCAGTGTTTCATTGTTTTATCGAATGCTTAATTCATATCACCAAACCGCACGCCATTTACTCTAAAGAAAGATATCAGACGAAAGTTGACTTGTTCGAACAACAATTTTCACGTCAGTTTACTGTTCGCATTCGCCAAAACAAACAGTAGCTAATGAAGGGAATTAAGACTTGGTAAGATCATCGCTTTACCGGCACCGCCCTTGCCTGAGATTACCTCGTGCATTAGCGAATTGTGCCTCCAAGTGTTAACGAATAAACATCGCCAATAGGTACGCTTTACACAGTGTTGTTTGTTTTAGAAGTCGCCTGTCACGTTGGGTAGCCGTCATGCCAAAACAATGTGTCTGCATATATTGTAAACATTGCACTCGTTGTATAAGAATGGAACTGAACTATTATTCTTATCAGTTTATTCTTTACTCGCTGACAAAACCGCTCGCTTCTTCTCCACGGCAAGAAAACAAACATGACTGAACATGTAGTGCTTATGAAAATCGTTGTTGCTTGAAACGAATAACTTTACATTGGATGACAATTACATTTTCTTTATATAGAAAATTATTCCTTTAAAATTTAACGTAGCCTAATGGTTACAAACTGCTAGATAACCATGTGTCCTCTTTAAAACAGGATCATTTTACACAATTTGTGTGAATATTTACAGAGACCCAGATCCATAGGTATTCTGTGTAGGTTATTCTTATTCTTGCAAGTATCGAACCAAGCACCCAACGTTTCTAGGCTTACCTATTCTAATTGACTCAGAATCAACCTGACACACAATCAATATAATTATCTTCTATACACATTCTTCGCAAAAACTCTATCTATCTTGTGATACTTTGCCCACATGTTTGTCTTGACTTTCTAGACTGCTTAGATATGTGTATGAGCCCGCATAGATGCTAATTACCATGCTCTAATTTAGAAACTAGACTGTGGTAAAATTAAGAGACCGCTGAAGCTCTGTTTGTAGTCTATTGATATGGTTAAAGTTCTATTTAACTTTAGTTAGCGTAATTAACCTCAGTTATTCTTTATTCCAGACTGTTTAATTAGGCAAGTGATATTAACCCAATTATCTTAAAATGATGTTACTAGCCTTTATCTTGTATTTGTACTATGATAAAATTACTTACTAATCTATCGAAAACCAAAATTCATGAAATGATACAAGTTTTTTTTAGTATAGAATAACTTATTAAGTTGAATGAATGACATAACACCATATAATTCCATTTTAGCATTTAGCCCTTAGACAGGGCAGTAACTTTTTGTGGTGCAAATCACAAATATTGTCCGAACTGAAAAATGGAAATCTTTTTCGCTCTTTCTACTCCGTTGACAAAAAAATTTACTGGAGTCATCTTATTCATTATATTTCACAAAACTCCTATCAGAATGTTCATAGAACTTCGATTTAGGATCTAAAGTCTCTCAAATTTAGCGATACATTTCTACAAGCCGAATGAAGTAAAATCTACTAGCGTTTTCTTTTAAACTATTTACTTTTACTTCTAACCTATGACATTGAAATTATTTCTTGACGTCATTATTCATTGGGACAGTGTTAACTACTTATCCACGTATCGTGTCGTATTGATCTCTTGCACTTATGCGAAAAGTTGAAATTTATTAGCGAAAGAGTTCGTATGAATTTATGGCCTTAAATTTGTTTTTAAAACCCTGACGTTTCGATTAATTTGCAGCGTGCATGGGTACAAGAGCGACTGAGTTATTCGACGTCCCGATCTCCTGACTGTCATCGGCTTGATATTTCGTTGTTTTATGCGTCTTTCCTTATCTTATACGATCGGGAAATATCAATTCAGTGATGATGAGCGACGAATAGTTTTGCAATTCCAAACGGGTGATAATAGTGTTTTAATAATGGAAATGAATAACTTGTTGCTTTATTATTATAAAGCTGTTTTATTCGAATTTGTGATTATTTTGAAATTTCTTTACAGTCTTCAACTTGTCGTAAAAAAGGGATGACCCTCTACTCCATCCTATTAAGTACGTATACGACCATCAAGGTTTTGTAAGTGACCGAAAGCATATTATGTCCCTGTTAAAATAAATCACTTAACCCTCTACGGAACCCTAGGTATTTATATTCATGCAAAACGCTTTAACAGCTCTTTTTTTTCGCACAGTCATTTCCTACCTAATACCACTTAAGGCCCCGTGTAAAAACTTGTCATCGTCAACGTAACAAAACCAGCTCACCTTTTACTACTCGAAACAAAAACAATAATACAAGGCCGCTTTAATTGATGCCGGGAATCGAACATTTTGCGATAAAATTCATTACTTACTTTTATTATCGCTAATTAAAATGAAATTTAACACGGACGCCGCCATCTTAATTTTTTATAGACTATATACACCTATAAATAGACTATAATATAACCATATTTAACTGTGACTTTAAGAAGCAATAGTTACGTCTTCCCGTGTAGGACAGTTCTGGAAAATGAGCAAGATTCATTCAATTTTATTATAAAAAAATTGTAATTGATGAAAAATATCCGACTTAAAATAGGTAAAAAACAATCGCTGGATTCGTTAAACGTGTATTCTATAGGGTGAATTAAACCCAAGCCTCGCGTGCATCAAACTGCATTAAACCCTACCATGAAAACCCTTGATAATAACACGTGTGGACTTTCCAACTTCCCCCTATCCTGGAAATCACTTAATAGAACGCATTGAATGTATAATGAACGTGATTCATAATTGGTTTTAAATCTTAATTTCTGTGTCACGCAATTTGACTGGATATGTAGACTCGACAACCTTTATACCAAGTAAATGAGTGAAAACAGCTTTTATCACATTAAAGACAGCATTATTTTAAGGCCATTCAATTATTTTAATAACATTTTCATCGTAGATTGTGCGGGAAGTCGATAGATGCAGGTGGCTCAGGATTTGATTTGTGGAAGTCTGTGGGGGAGGCCTATGTTCAGCAGTGGACATTATCCTCAAATCTTCGTAGTATTTAATACTTGTAATGCCGACTGCGTGCTCTTCAGAGGAATAAATTATAGATAAAAAACCCGCGCAAACTACTATCCAATAAGCTTCATCGCTAATACTTTTGAAAAGATCAATCAATTTAAACGTGTCTTTGCTATTATTGAGCTTGTTTTAGTACATCATGACCAACCTTAAAAAACACGCATACTAGACCTATCATCATCTTTCTTATTTCGTTGGTTGATTGCAACGAACAAATGTCACAATCGTCGAACTTTTCCGTTCGATAGTCATCGTACCGCGCCTGTTTTTATTACCTGTTTTTTAACTAACCAAGCTCAGCGATACTTGAACAAGCTATCTCCACATAAGGCACTCTAGAGTTAAAACTTATAAATTCTACACATACACTTATGTTATGAGTTATTACCTCGGTTAGGTAAATGATTCCACTGTGGCTGCGGCAGCGTTCCTCTACGATTTAAAACACAGTCCGTTCATACTGTCTGCAAACGGAGTGCCCCATAGCGCAATGTCGATCGATAGCCCCAACCATCAAGCCACGTGGCTGACCGGGAAATCCGCGTCGTTAGCCGCGGCTGGGGGCGAAAACGTCCCGCCAATTTGTGGGTGCATTTATAAATGCATCGCTCAATTAGTATGCGTTATTTGCTTAACGGAATTTTTAAAAAGTGATGTGGTCATAAGCAACACAAGCTTGATAAAGCGTTGTCTGAGTGAGTCACGGGGATCTTGGATTTTACGTGAAGAGACCATGAAGTGACCATGAAATAGAGTTTTCTTAAAATGTGACATCACCGTAAATAACTTTCGTCGCAATGCTACATTCCAGTGGATCAATGTAATTTAGTGTATTAATACAACAATTTACGAAATCTTATCTACCGTCTTAATCCCGCATTTCGCGGTAGACCGGGCGCCTGATAAAATTGTTGGCTTTGAATAGATAGCATCTAGTTTCGCATCACCGTGTCGTACTTTCACTGCGCCCATTGTGCTCCGCTATCAGATCGAAAGTGATTCTTCGGCGGATTCACTGTTTACATTTCTTTTGACGTCGGGCTACGGTGACGCAGAACCTAAGATTCTCTTATAATGTAACTGTTGACAAAAGACAAAACCATTTTCAAATATCTCATTCACTGTCCATTCTATATTTATTTGCTAAAACGAACCCATTGCAGAAAAAAAAAAAAATTTACATCGGCCTATAAATGACGGAGTTCTGGGGTTACAGAATGAAATAGATACCACCGAACTGTTTGTTCCTGCCTTATCGAATATTGAATCATTTTTATTGTGATAATTGTCAAATTTTTCGTGGTGTAGGAAGGTGGTGAAAGGAAGGCTAGTTGTTAACTCTCGGCTTTGCAGTGTAGTAGTATTAATGCTCCTAGTATAAACACGCATTCGCGCTTACGTTTAGTTATTGACTTCATGTGACTGTTGTATTTACAAAAGTATAGTCAAGTTTGATTATAACATTGCAATTGTGTTCGGAACTTTTACATAAAGACTACGCAATTTATGAAAATTTTCTTTTAACACAATGTTCAGCCGGTTTTCTAACGTACTTAATAATAAAACACACTCATACAGTATCAATGGCAAAAACACACAGCTTAAACTAAATACTTTGCACATGATTTCCCAGTATGTCGTAGGTGAGAATTGATCAATCGTTTTTTGAACATGCCTCTGCCGAGGGTAGAATAATGAAGACGGTTATTTATATAAATGATTGTTGATTTATATTTTATAACTTCTAATTTCGTCCGCGGGGACCCAGACGATGCGTTAGTAGCGGACCGCTCGGGAAGTCCAACAAATGTAGGCATCATTTGTATGTGAGTCCGACCGCAGGGCCATTCTGTATGGCAGACACGCGCGCGTCGTTACAGACGGACAGACGCCTCGCTCGATAATGCAGTCGCGGCTCCACGTGCCGCTTATTTATTGCCCATGTTGACAGTCGCTTCGAGGAATTTTGATATAAGGTTTATTTTATGCTTTGGTCGCGCAATGAATTAAGGTGATTAGTTTTTTTTAATTTATACGCCATTTTGATAGAGTGTTGTAAGCTTGTCTTACCTGATTGACATTATTTGTAATGATGTCTATATATTTTTATACTACACTACACGACTTATCGACGGTTTAACCGACCGCCTTATGAAATAAAAGCGGATTCTATAAACTGCAACTCCCACTAGTTGACTTGGTAAACCGGTGCCAATAATTATAATTGTATTCCGGCTACAAACTATGAATTGTTAAGGAGTTATGAGCTTCACCTTCTGCACTACGTGAATATGTACTTTGAAACGTATGTTTCGTCGGTTTGCTAGTTTCTGTTTTTTTCTTGTCTTCTGTTTTTTTTTTTGTTTTTGTATTTTACCTCACATTTTCTATCATCTTCTGGATTGCTTAAAATGTCCTTTTCATCTTTCCTTTCAACAGTGTCTTTAGCTCTAAATACTCTAATTTCTGTATTTTACCTCGCATATTCATGTATGAGAGATTTCGAGTCATTACTAGTGATATTTAAAAATTGATTTTTAGTGATTTTTTTTGCAGTAACCTACGCCTCTACGTATTAACTGTTGAAATAGTTTTATTTCAACAGTTAATACGTATATACGCGTTAACAAATCGGTCATGTTCTGCATTTATTCATACAGATATTTCATCATCCCACCTCGGCTTCCGACCTGTTCTAGAACGTTCCGTTCCTTGTTCAGACCGGCTCCGGGAAGACGTACACGATGGGCAGCGGCTGGGAGGGCGAGGGGCAGGGCGACGAGGGCCGCCGCGGCATCATCCCGCGCGCCATCCGGGACCTCTTCGCCGGCGCCGAGCAGAGGGCCGAGGACGCGCGCTCCAGGGGCCTGCTGCCGCCGGAGTTCTCCGTCCAGGCCCAGTTCATCGAGCTCTACAACGAGGATATAGTGGACCTTCTCGACCCCGCCAAGGACCCCTTCGCAAAGGTACGCCCCTACCCCCGCAGCATTAGACAACTTTAATGTCAACAGTGGTGCGTCACTATGCGTCCCGCCGAGACAGACCAAAAGACCCCTTCGCCAAGGTACGCCCCTATCACCGCAGAGATAGACAGCTTTAATGTCAACAGTGGTACGTCACTATGCGTCCCGGTAAGACCGACCAAAAGACCCGTTAGCAAAGGTACGCCCCTATCACCGCAGAGATAGACAGCTTTAATGTCAACAGTGGTACGTCACTATGCGTCCCGGTAAGACCGACCAAAAGACCCGTTAGCAAAGGTACGCCCCTATCACCGCAGAGATAGACAACTTTAATGTCAAACAACGGTACGTCACTATGCGTCCCGGTAAGACCGACCAAAAGACCCCTTCGCCAAGGTACACCCTTACCCCCACAGCATTAAACAATTTTAATGTCAACAGTGGTACATCACTATGCGTCCCGCCAAGACCGACCAAAAGACCGGTTAGCAAAGGTACGCCCCTATCACCGCAGAGATAGACAGCTTTAATCTCAACAGTGGTATGTCACTATGCGTCCCCGTAAGACCCGTAAGTGCGACAGAGAGGGCAACAGGATGCGTGCTGCCTCGACATTTATTACCCTGCGGGCATTGACATTAGTATGGTATAAAGGAGAAGGTGTAACTTTTTTTATAACTTCTCGTAAATGATTACCGCCATCTGTTGGCGTGTGCGACCTGATTGGTATTGCAGGTGCGCTGGGAACTCTTAAAAGGGATCTCCCCTTTTTCGAACGTATTCTTACGAGTAAATCACTGGATGAAACGCCAAAATATCAATAATTGGATTAAAATTTAGTCTGTAGACTGTGAAGTGGAAGTATTATACTTTCGCGTTTCATCTGGTGAGTGAGGTAACCGGGGCACAATTTTTAATGGTTGGTAACGCACCTATAACCGGTTAGGTGTTTTAGGTGTCCATGGGTGGCGGTAAGCATATACCATCAGGTGAACCGCCGGCTCGCTTGCCAACTTTTCACATAAAAAAATACGAGTAATTACATGAAATAATACTACGAGATAAATAAATACTACGAGTAATTATAGTCAACCTATTCGTGCGATCAACACGTACTTTCATCCTGTAAAATTAACTATTCTATTTTAAAGGATTCATCGCAAACGAAACCGAGGCTTAACCTAGTTTCATAACCTTTCGTTTCTACTTCGCTAGATAGTGCACACTGATCTGAAATAGTTACTTTCGCTCTTGTGTCCCAAAATTATTTTACTAGACCATGTCGGTAGATTTTCGATCCATTGCAACTTTCACTATTGTATTGGCTGTTTCTAACAAAAATACCACAAAAGCTTTCTTTTTCTGCAAACAACCACCACTTTCAACCAATTAGTCCAAAGTTCAAGGCCTACTTTCCGTTGCTTGTATTTTCCTTTTCTCAAAATACTTTTCCAGCTTTTCGCAGTTTTGATTTCAATTTGATATTTGTCAAATTGATTTATTGTTATACTTATCGTTTGTCTTATTGTTAGATTGCGATTTCGTTACATGATATTAAGCTCACAGTTATCCTTAGTACGTGTTTTTGTAATGTTGAGTGTTTCGAGAACTTTCAAAAGAAAATTTTCTTGCAAAAGTTTTGGGTAAGCGTCGAAGTCGGAGATTATTGAAGTTATACTTAGTTTTTCCGCGTCTGGAAAAAAATATGAGAGTAAAATTTTTACGATGACACACCGACAGTGAAAAAGCGACATGATAAAGTTGGTTGAAAAACAATTAAGTTCACGGTATTACCTTGGCAACCAATAACAACTTTTTGATAAATACCGTTACCGTTACCAATTGCATTTAATTTTTATTTCACAAACTAAGATTACTAGAACAGGGGATAACTATTTTAGTTATTTTTCTTTTGTTACGCTCAAGAAGTATAACTTATTACGTGCGTACATAAATACACACTTATTTTGTCAGTTGAGATATAAAATCCGAGAGAAAATCGGAAGATAGCCCAACCGCACCGTGCAATTAGCAATCGTTTAATTGGCTCTGCGAACGCCCCGATACCGTGTCGTCGTGATGTTAACAGGCGGAACCTTTCTCTTTGATCAATTACTCTTGATTATCAGATTGGCTAAAGAATTTGATCGCGTTGCCGGAACCACTTATAATGTTGACTCACCATGAGAAAGACGAAAGCCTATCCAACTAACAACTGGTAGTTAACAACAAGCTTACCATCAGTGGGGCCTCTTGCCCTTGAGTGGTTTGCCCCCTTTCTCCATAAAAAAAACTATTTTAAGTGCCATTGATTGCACAGACTAGCAATAAACGAAAAAGTAACAGCCTATACATGTCCACTTGCTGCTGCTAAAGCCTCCTCTATAGATTCTTAGGGCAGAGCCCATCACGCGATCCCACTGCGTACTGAATTTTTTATATATTAGTTCGAAAAGATGGTTTTCTTACGATTTTTTCCTTCACCGGTAATCACGTGACAAGTCATCACTTAAAATTAACAATTTTATTAATAATAAAATTAATAAATTCAGGTGATGGCACTGGGATTTGAACTCAGGACGCTCGAATGTATTGAATTTAAGGCGACTGCCCGAACACTGACTGAGCTATCATGGTCTTGCAATAAAAATAAAAACAAATGCTAAAACCTATACTAGTAGTGCAGCAGCTTCATAATAGTGTAGAAATGGTAGTGAAATACGGAGTGAATACGGTACGTGAGTACAGAGTTCAAAATAAATGAAACAAAATACCGGCAAGCGTGACGGTTCCGTACCATTATCTATAAACACTTAATTTTTTATTCTGTTTTTCAGTATTTGTTGTTATAGCGGCGACAGAAATAAGTCATCTGTCAAAATTTCTACTGTCTAACTATCACGGTTCATGAAATACAGCCTGGTGACAGACGGACAGACAAGCAAACAGACAGAAGAGTCTTAGTAATAGATTCCCGTTTAGGAATAGAGTTCCCCTAAAAATACTAAATAAGAGAACCGCCATCTGTTATCTGGCGCCAAAAATAGTCAACTTTCAGACGCCAAACCAATCTCGATATGCAATACAGTTTTCATTGAACCTTGTAAAATCCATTATTGTTTTATTGAAAACTATTAAAAGTCAATATACGTATGTACGTACCAACGATGTCCTTCTTGTAATGGGATGATGTCAACACCAACAGTGCACGATGTAATCTCGTTTGTGTGCCGTTGCTATCGCGATTGTTCGCACAAACACAAAGACGGACAAGTTCCCTTCTACAAGACAATGCGACCTTACGCAGCGTATGACTCGTTTCGTACCTAAGACCGATCATCAGATCCCAATCGCTGCTTCAAAAGGTACGTTCGAGTGTCGTTGACACACGTGTCACAATGCACCAGGGCTCGGACGTTAAAGAGAACAGGAACAACAATAAATAATGTCCCTTCCTGTGGTTAGCTGTAATTCCCATACACATGTCGAATCACGTACAGATTATAAAATCTCTATTTAAATAGAGACACGATTCTAATTCTAAAACCCTACAACTGCCGTGTGGCGTTATTTTCCACATTCATGGCCAGCGCGTCACAGTCACTGCAAAACCTTCTACTTTTAATAATTAATTACAAGATTACAGTAGATTATTAGGAGATAAATTGTGTAACGTTTTAAATTACATTGAAAGGGTATTATTGCCGCACATAGAAGGAGAAATATAAGTACGATAGTAAAAAATGTGTATATTTTAACTCGTTTAGAAAAGGTTCTTGTTTATTGCAACATGAAATAGATATTTTTGTAATTATCATTAAAACAACAGAGAACTCGGCACTAACCTTGATTTTAAATTTATAATTTTAAAAAATCCGTGATGATCTTTCCTCCATTTAGTATCATCTCGTTCGGATAAACAATAAAAATTCATATTTCAAAAGCTGTTAAATCAATATTTGTTAAATCTTTGATGCCTCCGTGGTCAGTTTCGTGGTCTCGGGGTTCGATTGTCACACGAAATAAGTGTATTTCTGTGACCTGCAGATAATTGTTTCAGATTTGGGCATTTGTCCACATGAAATTTATGTATGTCCTAACAACACAATCCCACGGAATGGATAATATTTTAAAGAAAAAGATAAAAAAGATGATAGATAGGTTTAAATGTGTTTTTATGTGAGAAAGGCAAACGAACTGGCGTTTCACCTGATATCTGCGTCTGCAACGACGGTAGGGTTGCAGATGCGTTGCAACCTATTAATAATGTGGGCTATCCCACTCACCAGACGAAACGCATAACACTTCCACTTCATGCCAGCCTGTGAGGTACTACCTCACAGAAACTTACAGGTACTTCCTCGGACGGACCTGCTCATTCGTGCAACTGCCCGACCTGTTGCGTGGCCCTGCCACAGTTTACGTGCTTATTGTACGGTGCAGTCCGACCGCGCTCAACTCCAGGGTACGCTGAGGATAACGGAGGACGGGTGCGGCGGCATCAGGCTACCACCGGACGGACCTGCCCATTCGTGCAACAACAGCGTGACCTGTCGCGTGGCCCCGCCGCAGTTCACGTGCTTCTGTGCACGGTGCAGTCCAACCGCTCACAATTCCAGGGTACGCTGAGGATAACGGAGGACGGCTGCGGCGGCGTCAGGGTGGTGGGCGCTTCGATGCGCGCCGTCAGGGGCGTGGTGGACGCGCTGGGGGCGCTCCACGCGGGCGCCCTGGCGAGGACCACGGCCGCCACCAACATGAACTCCTCCTCGTCCCGGTCGCACGCCGTGTTCACGCTGCTGCTGCGCCAGAGGCGGCTCGCCACGGAGCAGGACGCCGTCGACAGGGACCCCGAGACGGACGCGCCCGAGCAGTACGAAACGCTCACCGCGAAGTTCCACTTCGTGGACCTCGCCGGCTCCGAGCGGCTGAAGCGCACAGGTAACGGCCATGGTTTTTTTTAAATTTCAATATAGAGCTTTGGTAGCAGGTTCCAAATCAAAACACACAGAGAAGACACTTAATCTAAACTTAAAGTAAATCACTTACAACTAAACTTTCACTGTGCGTAAAGATCAAATATTATTTAATAATTTGAGATCATCTGATGGTGATTAGATCATCGCCAGCGTAGCAACTATGGCAAAAACCCCTCATATTGATTTCAATCTAAACCTATAAATGAATTAGGTCTGTCTGCGCCTAACGTTTTTATGAAGCAATTTATAGTATATTTATAATTTTTTATGAAGCAATATTGCACAGACTCAACGACGCATCAATACGTTAAAAAAATCATATTTGAACGTCTGTCAAATAGTTCCCCCCTGCCACACATCATTCAACTTTGTAACGGTCAACAACGCGCTCTCACCTATTTTTATATTCATTTTTCATTGTGAGGTAATTTCCAAATAAATGTAAGATTGTGCAGACACTTTGTGTTTGCATCTATGTAAAATACGAGACAATGTCTGTTTATGCTTCAGGTTGCTTTTTTTATAGTCAACAATCCGAAATTTCAGAATTGCTTAGATTACAAAAAATTCAAGCTGAACAAATAGCAGACAAAACTTTTGTTTGAGATTCCGTGATGAATGCTATATTTATCTTCACAATGTCTTTGATACTACGACAAAAGGGTTTTATTCCAAACAAAAGTCATGTTAACTGAGATATATTGCTTCCTGATTACCTTTTCGTCGAAACTTTTCAAGTGTTCCGTTCCGAATTCAAAAATAGTATTTAAATATCTGTCAATTTCAATTACGGAGACAGAGATGCCCAAGGCGTTAAACTAAGAATAATATCTCCATAGTAACTATTAATCATTAGTTATACCGTCATTTTCTCACTGAGACAAAAGCTTTGTGACATTTTATTTTGTTTTTCATATATAAAAATAACGAAGACCATGAGAATGATACTCCAACATAATCTTAATAAATAAATGTATGTCATATAACCTGGCACAATGCACATAATATTGTTATCGTAAGACGTGTATTGCTTTCGAAACGTTGCAAATAAAAATAAATTCTACGTAACCTGTAAATTTTATTCGATGTCAACTTTTCTTACAGATATGTTTTATAAATGTGAATTAAACGACCCTCCGGATTTTATCGGGTTTATGTTTAATCTTTATCTCGCGACGTTGCGAACACTTTGCAGCATTCATGGCCGCGATAAAATTCATGAATTATTTTTATCTTATTGCATTATCGTGTAAATACAGTACAATAAATCTTTGTAAGCTCAAATTTTTGCACGTTATTTTAAGGCGATGGGTAATAACTGTGGTAGGGCCACGCAACAGTTCGCTGTGTCAAGAATGGACAGGTCGATCAGGGGTAGTACCACGACCACAAAAAAGAACGGTGTGAAGTGGTAGTCTTATAATTCTGCGTTTCGTCTGGTTAGTGAGGTAGCCGTGGCCCACTTGTTCAAAGGTGCCAACGCATCTGCAACCCTAAGGGTGTTGCAAATGTCGACGGGCGGCGGTTATCACTTTTGGTGAACGGCCAGCTCGCTTGCCATCTTCTTACATAAAAATTGGACGTGTTTAAACAGGAGCCACGGGCGAGCGGGCTAGAGAGGGCATATCGATCAATTGCGGGCTCCTGGCCCTGGGCAACGTCATTTCGGCCCTGGGCGACCGCTCCAGGAAGGTGCTGCACGTTCCGTACAGGGACTCGAAGTTGACGAGGCTGCTGCAAGACTCACTCGGAGGTACGGGAAACCATTTATCGTCTACTTTCATCAATAGATAGGCAAGAGGGCTGATTCTTTTCTCGCTCAAAGATTCAGGGAGGAAATGCGGCTAACGTTCTTGGCACCATGCCGCGTGGACTAGGTTTATTAGATAACATGTAAGTTAGATAGATTTAGAGTTAGTTTGGAGGGTAGTTTTAAAATTCTTACGTTCATAATCCCTTTGATATTTATGCCCGATGTATTTCGTCACCTTGCAGCTAAGTAGCGCTGTAATAATGTCAATACTGTCATGCGTTTCTAAACGCGAGAGCTCATAATATAGATTTTTTTGAAAAGCACCCGCAGCCAATACAAGCACACTAGATGGTGCTGTAAATGCTAAAAATGCAATAAAAACTAGAAGTCGATAAGATGTTGAGACTTCCACGCGGTGAAAATTTAGTCTGCTTAGCTTCGTGGTTAGAGCTCCTGGGCGTTAGACGGAAGCTCCGCGCCAATTTGCTTAATGAAACAAATTTTACGGATTTATCGCGTTTATTTTTAATTTTATTACCTGACGTTTCGAACCTTTTACAGCGTTCACGGTTACGGGTTCGACGCCTCAGGCTGCATGTCTGAATGTCATTGTCAGCACGTTCTACCGTCAGTTTTTATATTATTAATTTTGCGTCGATCCACGCAGAAGCTGTGCTAATTATGTCATGTCTTTCAATAATGTTTCGTTTGGGCCTACTACATACAACTTATCTACACCTGTTAAGTGCTCACTTGCTCCCCAAAGGCAACAGCAACACCGTGATGATCGCCTGCGTGTCGCCAAGCGACCGCGACTTCATGGAGACGCTGAACACGCTCAAGTACGCGAACCGGGCGCGCAACATCAAGAACCGGTGCGTGGTCAACCAGGACCTCACGTCGAGGACCATCAGCCAGCTGCGCCACGAGGTCGCCAGGCTCCAGCTGGAGTTGGCCGAGTACAAACAGGTGGGTGACATCTACCAGAAGACAGCCTTACTCCCAGTGGAAGCGTCACTGCCTAGAAGATCTGGAGAGTATTCGTTATTATTTACTTATTGCTGGCTCATTTGGTATCGTTGCTTAAAAAAATTACTTAGACTTACATAGATTATCCTTCCGATGCAAACTAGCAAATGAGCGTTAATATATCGGTATGGTCGATGTTTCCACCGCGACGTTTTTCCATAGGCCTTCGCAAATATATAATGTATATCGATGCGTGAATCCTTTTTTGTAATCGACAAAATAGTAACTTATCTCCCTCTTAGTCCACTGCTGAACATAGGTCTCCCCCACAAACCGCCACGAAGAACGATCCTGAGCCACCTGCTTCCGTCGACTTCCAGCAATCTTTAACTACGACCCAAAAATCGTTGAAGTGATAACCAAGAACGTCAATGTTACAAACATTTGTGGTCTTTTATCTTGTCTTTATCACCACTCCTTTTGTGGCCCAGCAAGTAGGTTTTCTTGTGTCGATTATTGTCTGGTCCCATCGCAGGGCAAGCGCGTGGTGTCTGAGAGCGGCGAGGAGGGCTGGAGCGACGTGGTGCAGGAGAACGCGATCCTCACGGGCGAGGTGGAGTCGCTGCGGCGGCGAGTGAAGGCGATGCAGGGCACCATAGACCAGCTCTCGGCGAGGAACAGCGAGCTGATGACGGAGAAGGCGCTGGGCACGTGGGCGCCGCGGGACGGCAGCCCCGACCCAACTGACTGCTCGCTCACCACGCTCGTTCAGGTGCGAGCTCTGAACTTTATTACTCTGTGTTTGCGCAAGTCATCTGACTGCGCAAGGCGTGCTTATGGGCCGTTACTCGGCTCTAGTTGTGGCTGCTCTGTGCAAAGCGTGTTTATGGGCCGTTACGTGGCTCTACCTGCGGCTACACTGTGCAAAACGTGCTTTTGGGCCATTACGCGGCTCTAGCTGCTGTTACTCTGTGTTGAGTATGCTTACAGCCCTCTTTTGATAGCCCTAGCCGCAAACACTGCAGATCGTTGTACTCTCTTAAATACGTTAATCTGTTTGAATGGCCGTAGCCACATTTCGGGTGTCTCTGTCGCTTCTAATCTGTGCAGAGCCACGTCGCGAAAGTCATAATAATAAAAAAAAATTGGTTGTTTCTGCGATCGCACTGACTTCTGCCACTCTGTGTAGGTCGAATTAATATGCCGCCTTCTGGTGTAACCTCTGCTACTCTGTGACTTCTTCTAATATACGAAGAGCATCTTTAGGAGCCGCTGCTATCACCGTCTCGAATTCTCTGTAGGGCTCGTTTATACTCGTATGGACTTGAGATTGACGGCTGTCCTACTCCTTGCAGGGCTACGTGAGCGAGATAGAGGATCTGCGCGCGCAGCTGATGGAGGCGAACGCTCTGTACGAGGCGAGCAGGAAACGGGAGGCGCGCACCCGCCACGACTCCATGCACGCCGATCCCAACGCCATACTCGACGACGCCAAGCGGGAACTATACAAGGTCACTGTCTTCATATACTTCTCATATTAACAGCTTTATTTTTTTCTTATGTGAAAAGCGAGCTTAGCCACTGGTGCAACAGCAGAATCTGCTACGCGGTGCTACAACGTAGTCTTTTCATTTTAAAAAATTTAAATTGTACAGCACATTTGTAGTGATAATAATAGTTTTAAAACATTTATTCCATGCTGAAAAGACACTTAAAATAAAATTTAAATGGTATTAATAAAGGTTATTAATATTTTTAAATTGATTTTGTTTTCTATAAAGATAGGTAGAGTGCCACTGCAGTCCCAAAACATTGATATTTTGACGTAATCTATTTTTATATTTTCTAAATATACAGTCATAGAAGCTTTGAAAATTTTATTTCCAAGAAAAGATTGAAAACAAAAAGAAGAATGTGCACCGAAATAAATCTCCGAACAGAGAAATAATTCAGATTAAAAGCGTTAGTCGTATTATGTGTATATGTAATGTTACTACTGCAACTAAAGGCAAAAGGTTGGTACAGGAGAAGGAGCTGCTCGCACGCAGCATGGGCGAGCTGGAGTTCCAGCGGAAGCTCGCCACCCAGACGAGCGTGGGCGGGGAGGGCACAGGCGAGGCGGAAGGGGGCGTCGAGGGCGAGGACGGGGGGCGTCCCATCGGGGAGCGGGAGAGGGCGGAGGGCGAGAGCGCCGGCGACTCGGAGCCCTCGGACCACGACGAGGACGACGAGCGCAGCGACGACGAGAGGGACGACGAGATCGAAGCGGAGACCGCCGGTGAGCACTGTCCCCTACCACGAGCTACAACAAATGTTAAATTTGATCCTTTGTCTGCTACAACAAATGTTTGATCCTAATGCGTATTCCAGTAATGGACTTTCTTATGTTACAACTGGTGCTGGTGTTTAAGCTGATGTTAAGTGATTGCCGCCGCTCATAGACATTCTCAATATCTGAGGAATTGCAGACACGTTTCCATACCTTTGACAAAAGGTCACCCGAAACACCAGACTAAACCCAAAAGTGTAGCAATACCACTGGTCTTCTGTGGGAACGTGATACTTTCTCAGACCAGCCCCCAGCTCGTGCAACGGCATTAGTTGCTGCGTGGCTCTATCAATAAAACTATGGTTAAAAAAATGGTCTTTCATTTTAGTCAATTCTTATTGCAGCATGCCCTGATACCCTCTGTACAGAGGAGGCCTTGTGCCTAGCAGTGGGACATGTATAGGCTGATACTTCCCTTTTTTTTTACTTACTGCTGCCGTGTCATAAACAACGCGAGTGTATCGTGTTCCAGGGCAGCGCATGCTGACCGCCCAGCTGGCCGCCCTGAGCGAGGACATCGACACGAAGGCGCGCCTCATCGAGCAGCTGGAGGCGTCGCAGCGCCGCCTGGCGGCCTTAAGGGCGCACTACGAACAGCGGCTCGACACGCTCCACCACCAGATCAAGGCCACCGGCGAGGAGCGCGACAAGGTGCTCGCCACTCTAGGTACGGCCCGCCTTGTCTACACTTCCTTCCTTCCTTACTACTCTTTTTTTAACAATAACTTCTTTAAAATATTAAAATATGTAGAAAAACATAAATAACTTCTTTAGTCTACTAGAAAATTGTTTTCATGTTCCGGTAAGCTTCATACATATTATATAACAGGCACATCTAGACTAGGACTGTTTGCGAAGTACACAATTTTTTTTTTCGAAGAGATTCGATCTCAGCAAAAAAAAAACGATCTGTTGGACACGATTGTAATCTCGGAGAAAAAAAAAACGATCTGTTGGACACGATTGTGATCTGTCGAGTCTTCTGAAACTTCGAAACCGGTATCGACTGCCATGGTAAAACCATGAAGTAGACGTGGCGCATCCTAAACGTTCACCCTGGTCACTCTTCGCAAACGCGCCGAAGGAGCTTAACCACATTAAACGCGCTAAGCGAAAAGCCGGTCGCGTGCTTAGCGGCGCAGGCGTCGCCGCCGGGCGAGAAGCTGAAGCGGGTGCGGGAGGAGTACGAGCGGCGGGTGGCGGGCATGTCGCGCGAGCTGCGCAGGCTGCAGGCGGCGCAGCGGGAGCACGCGCGGCTGCAGCGCGCGCAGGGACACACTGCGCACCAGATCCACACGCTGCGCGCCGAGCTGCAGAACCTCAAGCGGGACAAGGTGCGCCTCGCTACGCCTCTGTGTGACGAGCAGGCGTTGCCAGTTGGGCCGTGTTAGGGACTGTGCTACGTGTAACATCGACATACGCCCACATCGCGGCGGGGGATCCATAAAGGATTTTTTCCGCATAAAAAAGGGACTATGCTTTGATACCACTCTGTAAAGAGGGGCCTTATAATTTTTCACTTTTAAGAGGAGATCTGGCGCAGCACGTACAGTGGGATGTGTTTACATTGCGTCCACCCTAACGTTCTCATTATATTGACGACGACCTATGTATTTATTTAAAATTATTAATATAAAAAAATAAATAAAAAAAATGATAAATGAATGAATCACCTGATGTTAAACGAATACCACCGCCCATGGACATCTGCTACACCCGAGGGTTCCAGATGCGGGATTGAAAACCTTTTGAAAATTGGACTCCGGCTACTTTACTCACCATACGAAAAGCGAAAGTATTATACTTCCACTTTACACCGGTCTTCTGTGAGGTCGTAATACTTATCCGGACGAGCCTGCCCATTCGTGCAAGGGCGAGGCTGCCGCGTGACCCTACCACAGTAGTCATACAGTGAGCTATAATAATTTCCATTTAAGTGATGTCAAATTTAAAGAAAATGTTTATAGGTGAAATTGGTGCAACGTATGCGAACTGAAGCGAAGAGACACGCGCAAGCGGAAGCGGCCAGAGCTAAGGAGGTAAAGTCAAAATCAACTAATTAATTCTTTTCTTTTATTCATTTTCATTTGGCCTAATTATTTGTCCTTTCCACAGGTAGCACAGCTACGAAAGGAATCTCGTAAGAATGCGAATCTGATTCGTTCTTTGGAAGCGGAAACTAGGCTTAAGGAACAGGTATGTTATATATTTACTTACGCTATATCTTTTTATCGTTGCACATTGACACACGGGACAAGTATTTATGTGACCCACAGATAATTTCCGAACAGTCTTTGTGACCATAAAACATATCCAACACCAATTAATGAGTCACATGCTGAACCGACTCCACCTATGGTGGGCTAAGAGCGAGAGAATGAATCTTTTTAAGCTTCAATCATAAACTGTGAAAGACTTTAGTCGTAGAATTTTGTAGATAAAAGTGGTCGCATTTTATGTAATGCATCGTTTATATTTCACGTTACAGGTATTAAAACGTAAGCAGGAAGAGGTCTCACTTCTGAGAAGAGGTCACCGAGACAAGCTAAGCAGCAAAGCGGCGGGTCGACTTCATGGTATATTTTATATTTATTTATTTATATTGCAAGAGATACCTATTTATTCTTTTAGGAAACCCACTTAAAAGTACGTTTTTGAAAACAAAATATGATTGCTTCGGAAAAATTAACACAGAGTACTCTCTTGCATCGCCGCTCTTTACGAGCGAAACCTATATATATATATATATGTATATATATTTATATATATACCTCCGTTGTGAAAAGATAGCTCAGAGTCGCTAATAATAACAACAAAAAAAATATTTCGAACATATGTGTAGTCCACCAATCCGCAGTGGGATCTTGCGGTGGACTATGTTACAATACGTTATTTACTTGCAAACGCAACGTGAAAGTATAACACAATACTCGCGGGTCTCCTGTGAGGAGACCGCGTGTATTGTGACTGCAGACTTTTTACTGCCCATTCGTGCTTAGTCCTCCATAGAGGGTGGAGGGTGCTAGCATTCCCCAGGCGTTGCCCATTCGGGCTACCTATCCATTCGACGACCCCCCCCCCCCCTCTCCAATTCCCCCTTGAAGTCCGCCCGAACGCGCCGCGAGGTCGTGTTTGGAATGCTAGATGTCGCTACCGCCCTCTCCCTCCGCTACCACGACGCCCCCTCCTCCCCTAACAGTCCTCTCGCCCCCAGAGGGCGGACGGGGGCGGTCGCGCGTGTCCGCACGCGAGGCGTGGTCCCGCCTCGAGTGCTGGATGTCGCGCGCGTGCGCCGCGCGCGGCACGCTCGCCGAGCTCGAGGCGACGCTGGAGCGGCAGCTGCGCGAGCGGGACCGCGCCGCCGCGCAGCCCGCGCAGCCCGACGGCGCCGCGCTGCTCGCCTACCTGCGCGAGGCCATCGCCGACACGCAGCACCAGATCATGCAGCTCGAGGTGGGGGCGCAGGCTACTACGCAGCGTAGAGACGAGGGGGCGATCTGTATGGGGACGAGTCGAAGCGACTACGGGGCGTAGAGATGAGGAAGGCAATGTTATATGGGAATTCTTTTATTAAACTCCTCACTCACCAGACGAAATGCAGAAGTATAACTCTTCCTCTTCACTCCGGTATTCTCGCGGACGGACCTGCAGATTCTTGCGATAGTGAATACTGTTGCGTGGGATGAGTTGAAATGAGAACATGCCACTTGGCGAGTTTCTCCGTATAAACTGTGGAGTAAAAGGATAAGTAGTGTAATTAGTAAATAAAGGTTCGAAAGCTTGCTTTAATGGCAAAGGTAGTGTGGTTATCAACCTAGCCGAGTTGAATTTTAATAGCCCAACTAAAACTTGTGTTGTTTCTCGTATCTACCTGCTGCACACAACGCACGTAATAATAATTATACCTGCATTTTGCCGTTTCTTTCTTAATCATTTCAATTACACAATATGTTTCTGGTCGCAGGAGGAGAACGAGGACAACGAGCTGCCCCGACTGCTGGAGCAGGTGCAGACGGCGGACGCGGGCCGCTACGCGATCGAAAGGCTGTCGGCCGTCGCGCTGCAGTACGCACAGGACGCCGCGAGGAACCTGCGCATGCTGAGGGACGCGAGAGCCCAGCTGTCGGAGGTGTGCCACCTTGTTTTGTGGGAGGGCGGCGAACGAGCCGGCGGCTCGCTGATGTTAAGTGAATACCGCCGCCCGTGGACATCTGCCACACCCGAGGGTCGCGGATGCGGTGACAACCTTTTGAAAATTGCGCTCCGGCCACCTCACTCGCCAGACGGAACGCGAAAGCATTATACGTCCACTTTACGCCGTTCGTCTGTGGGGCCGTGGCACTTACCCTGACGACTGACCCATTCATGCAACGGCCGAGGCTGCTGCGCCGCCCGACCACAGTCATGTACAGTTTTGTTCCTTTGGTCGTTTACAATAAATAACGGCGCGCTTTTCGCTCTCCGCCCCCAGACGGAGGAGAAGAACGAGCGTCTGTCGCAGGCGCTGTCGGCGGCGGGCGCGGCCGGCGACCAGAACCTCAACCCGTGGGCGGCGCCGGCCGCGCTGGCCGCCCTCCTGGCGCACGTCTCCTCGGGCACCTCCACGCGCTCCGTCTCGCCCTCGGACAGGTGGGCGCGCATTCCGCCCCCGCGGGGGCGTTGTTCGGAGTTACGCAACCGAACAGCGACATTGTCACTTTGTGCATCATAGGCACATCACACTAACGTACATATGTACGTTTGATGCCTAATTTGAAGCAGTACGCGACTCGCCACCGTCTAACCATAACCATACCATTTATTTATACCGCGTATTCTTTATACCAGTTTATACCATTCACCATTTATACCATAACAAACCATTTACCAGAATATTTATAAACTCTATCCCTGTACAACCTTCTTCAGGCGTAAATGGAATTCTTTTTCGTGTTCTTCTTCTTCGTCTTCTCCAATATTTTACGTACAACGCCCCCATACGGGGCGAAAATGATATCTATGTGTGGCGAATTTTTTCGTGTTCTACTCTGTAACTCCTAGATTATACATGAAACATATAAACATCGGAGAAATGTTATAATTACGCTCAGCGAACTATGGAGCGCGGTGTGCTCGGTATTTCTCTGCGTGATAGAGTTCGCAGTTTCTTAGGGGGGTCTCTGTTTAGCGGTGGACTCGAACAGGCAAAAATGATGATGATGATGGCGATATTTTTTCACCTCTCTCCTCCCTAATTTTAGGTAAAAAAGAAAAATATCGGAACGCTGAAATACCTACTGTTGTAAAGCAATAGCAGCGTCAGTCGCTTATCCAGTAATTTGCTCGCTTTATTATTTATTTTTTACTATAAACTTAGTTTTCATGAGAATCTAAATAATTTTTTAAGTACTAAAAACATCATCACTTCGAATTCGAAATCGTAAGAATATGATGAATGAATGTAAGAATATAAAGTATGAACTTAAAAACATCCGTCGCCTTTACCTCTCTTTAGACTTGGCTCGTGATATATTACATCGTATTTGATTGTTAATATCCCTTTGGTAAATCAAGTTCTCATAATACGAACCCCCAAATAAGTTGCGTTCATTCTGTTATAAACGCAGCGCATTGCTCGAGAGGCCGCCAGTAAATGGCGCACGGGAGTCGAACACCGCGCCCGCCTCGCCGCCAGATGACAACAGCAATTCTCCATTCCACAGGAACACGTGAGCATATATTCAATATATCTTTACATAATGGCTTCGGCTTTGTGCTGGTGCAATGTATCATACATATAAACCTTCCTCTTGAATCACTTTATCTAGTAAAAAACCGCATCAAGATCCGTTGCGTAGTTTTAAAGATCTAAGCATACATAGGGACAGACAGACAGCGGGACGATTTTGTTTTGTACTATGTAGTTATTTCAATAAATCAATGAGAAATATTTGAAGGGAATAGGTAATGTGTATTACACGAAATTTGTAATCATGTTATAATAATGTATAATATTTGAAAAAAAAATAATACCTTCAATTAGTTAAGACGACATAATTTTGTTTATTCAAATGTTAGCATAATTTCAGTCAGAGTCTTAATGATTAATTATATTATAGTCTATCACAAGGCAGTCATCACTGTAACCATGATATAATTATTATGACACATATTCAATGATTACTTACGTTGCCACGACGTGGGTTCGGCGGGTCAATTTAGTGGTTAAATTAAATGGTCTGAGTTTGATACCGAGAGACGTGGGTTCGATTCCCGCATCGAAAACTTTCACGTGTGTCTCTTCCGCACAGCGCTCGGCGGGGGTCGGTCCGGCTGCGCGACTTGGGCGTGATAGGGCGCGACGAGGACCCGATGTCGCAGTCCATGGTGGAGCGGACCCCGCCCAGGCCCGCGCCCCTCAGCCGCGTGCCCAGCGCCCCTGGCAGCCTGCGGTGAGCCGCCACCGCCGCGTTTCGACACGGCCCCAACGCCACACCACGTTTCGGACCCTCGATAGCTCCAAGCCTCGACACGCTATCAAGGAACGCCCATGACTCGCAGACAAGACTAGACCGTGAAATAACGTCGCCGCCATATACATATAGTTCGAATTTGAAGAGCACATGAAAACCAATATTATACACTTAATTTTTTTTTTTATGTGAATGGTGCCAAGCGAACAGGCGGTCCACCTGGTATCAAGGGAATACCGCCGCCCACGGTCATCTGCTACACCCGGGGGTTGCAGATGCGTTGACAACCTTTTTGAAAATTGGGCTCCGGCTACCTCATTAACTAGACAAAACGCGAAAGTTACAGAAACTCACAGAAGACCGGCGTAAAGTGGAAGTATAATACTTCCACTTTACGCCGGTCTTCTGTGAGGTCGTGGTACTTACCCGGACGAGCCTGCCCATTCGTGCAACAGCCGAGGCTGCTGCGTGGCCCTCCAACGTTTAATTTGATAGGTTAAGTTAATGTGATGAGTAATGGTTCGTTGCAGTGGGCTGACTCCCGTGGGGCCGCAGCTGTCCTCGCCGCTGACGGGACGTAGGGCTGCGCCCCCCGAGAGCCCTAGGCCGATTCGCCGACAGCACTCTCTCGCCAAACCCGCCTCCTTGTGAGTACTCGAATACACGTAATATAGACGTAGTGTCCCAATTTAATCGATGAATTTGAAAGTTTGCCCAATGGTCATATACATGTTTCCATTTGGTCTATTGAATCCTATGCAATATGTATAAAGTAATAATATTTATAATTTTTATTTTTTATGGTACTGTTTTGCTGGTAAAAAATTATAAAAGTAAACTAATACTAACTTATTTTATCGTTCTAAATGTTATATCATTTAAAATATAAGTAATTGAATGATATTTAATTTCACATACTTTCCATTCATCAAACTTGGTAAACTTTCAAATTTTCCCTTTCGCTTGCTAAAAGAAAAGCAACCCTGTATTCTAGTATTAGTTGTTGTTGTTGCTACACTTTACTGGCACGTGGCCACCTCGCTAGCGCTCCCTGCATGACACAAAGCTTGGGTACATGTATTAAAATTATGGATAAAACACTAAACGACATCATGAAACGTATTACTGGACAAAGAAAGCTGTAGAGCTTTATATATGTATGTATAAGAATATTATAATATAAGAAATATTATTTTTCAATCGAGTTTGAAAAGAAAAATAGTCTATTATTTATATACAAAAGATTTTCCTAGTCAAAATATTTTTATCATACGATTTTCATATCCTAAAACATTTTATGGTGTCTTGTAGATTGTGTAGTTAGAAATTCAGAGGGTTGTTTTTAATTGGGATGGGTTTCCAGTATAAATTGCGTTCAACTATTATCTGTGCCTAGTCATGTGTGCATGTTCTGCATGATTGTGTTTATTAAACTATAAAAGAGTGGCGCGTCTAAATAACAGCAGGTTGTAATTTGAACGCAGATTTTTATGGCGAAAATTAAATGCCGTCCTCAATTGCTTTAGTCAAAGCTGAGTACATGAGACAGGAAAAAAAGTTTGTTTGATTATTTTGGTGTTTGTAAACTTTTTCACAGTACGTAATCCTTAAAAGAAACTCGAATTTCTAATTGAATAATATGTCAATAATATTTGGAATCGTTTCTTTAATTTCAAAAGTGGTGAGAGGGACACGATTGATAAAATCAATAGTCCATAAAGGATACATGAAACTTACTTTTCATTATACCAGCCTCGATATTAGAGAATTTCCAAACAGTCTCAAAATATTAACACGGAACCCGGCTTTTGTCTAATGCTATTACTTTTTGTATACTCACAAGTTTGATATGGCTTAAGCTTGCCCATAAGATGTATACAGTTATGACATTGCTGAATCTCTATCAGACATAGAAAGAATGACTTTATGTACCTTCTTGCTGAATGAAACTGCTGGTTCATTGCATTCTTTGAAAATTTTAAATGGACCACCGAGCTATCTCCATTTCAAATTATTAAAGTCCAATCAGCTGTAATGAGAGATCGTAAAAGCCCTCATACCAACAATTGTATTTATTCACAATTTTATATTAGTCGTGACGACTACTCCACGCCACTTTTGTCCACTTGCACACATGACTATCGGCCAGGGGGAGGGCGTTAGCGGGGCGTGCGGGGTGCGCGGGGTGTCGGTGTCTCACGCCGGGCGATTGCTTGCAGCCTTCTCACCGACCTGTCCATAGTCGAGGACTGACGGCGCCGCTGGCTAGCTGCGCACGCACCTAGAGAACACGTACACGTAGTACGCGAATTTAGACCTTGTCTACATACACATAAGACCCAAACTTTGTCTGCAATAAGATTTAGAGCCACGCAAAAACAGACCTTATTTGTATAAGCACACGGGCTAAACTGTATTTTAGTTATATGTCATTGAGTCGATTTCACTACACTTATAATAATTGTCCCGTTTAATACTTTAACGCACTGTTCAAATAAGCTTGTGCTAATATTTCATATGATTTTTTTCTTATCAAACTCCAAGCCAATTAAAGTGGTTACAGTTGTTGAACTAAACTCCTTGTTTACTTAATTTTAAAAACGTACATGTCGCAGTATGAATTTTATTGTCAATAAGATAAAATATATTCATGATAAACGAGTTGGTGAAATTGGGTCTTGTGGGGTGAAAAGCGCTTCTGAATCAAATAATAGCTTGGGATACGATAGCATTAGTACACGCAATATTTTAGAATGTATAGTAGATAAAGCATAATAATCTGTTATTGAAGTCACATTATATAATTAAGATTTCCCTGCACCTAAATTTGTGTGAAATAACCCTTGTGATATAATATGTTATCTAAATTGTTAATAAATATATAAGGGATAGTTATTATAAAAATTTTGAATACATTTGAAACTTAATATTAAAATGTATTTAAAATTAAGCTAAGCTTACAAAGTAAAAGTTCGAGGATGAAACTCATAACCCATACATCTATTTGCTAAAACTAGAATTTCTCTTTGTAATAGCAATATGTAAAATAATAATTAGAATGAGATAAATGTTTTAATGCAATCAATTGTGTAATTAAATTTAAATCTTGATATTATTTAATGCCCATAATGCTCCCGAATACATATTGTATATTCTTGGGTGTCATCCAAAGACAACTGAAATGTTTTAAGAAATTTATGCTTTAATCTCCTTATTATTAAAAGATTTTTTAGTGATATAACTGATGAACATTTTTTCAGTAATATTTATAAGTGATATTGTATTATATACTCCAGGATTATGATTTAGTTAACACAATAAAATTTTATTTAATATTAAATAACTTTATATTAAAACTTTGTAAACACAAAATTGCGTACCTACATTTTTAAAAATTCTATTGGCAATGATTTATTTTCATCGATCAAATCGTCGCTTCACTATGTATTCACAAATGTACCAAATACAGTTTAAGCAATAAAGTATTCCTTTTATTCTTAATTATTAGTGCTAACATTCTTTTTTTATTCTTTACTAACTGTTGTAAAATCACAATTCGCAAGTACTTTCCGTAATCTTCAACTTATAACTATTAAAGTCACAAAATTACTTAACAGATAAGCTTGAAACATACTTTTTAATCGTATATTGTACATAATTTCTAATTTAAGGTTTGGTAAGGATAATAAATAGACGATGGTCGTATGTAGTTTGATTGCTCTACTGCATGCCGCACAGAACTGTTGCTAGATTGCTAGTACCTACATGATGTTGCATGACATCATCACCATTTTATGTTAATTCTAGATTATTCTTTATTCATTAAATGACTTCTCAATATTGTATTATGCTATGCGTTCTATTAACATCCATTCTCCAGGAAAATCCGTTTTCTAATTTCTATATTTTTACATTAAATCACTGCGTGTAGTATGTTTAACCTATTCAGTATGTAAAATGCCAAACTTAAGTTATCTTGCAATATTGTGTGTATACTAAAATGAACGCGAAATAGAAGGGTAAGTTTTTGCAGAAGCATTTAACTTGTGGATTTTTTTCTTTTGTGGCTCGAAGATTCATTCAAGTATTTGCATGTTGAAGATTTTGCTTTAAAATATTCTGAATTAAACCGTTCACCGGTATGCCTGACTATGTAATGTATAATAGTACATACATTCTATACTCAATCAGATACTAAAAACGTATTTATTATCTGATATAATTTTCGAACTTAATGGGTCGGACATTCTATTATTTTTTACAATTTACAATGGTATTAAATCTCTCAAATGTGGAAATAATCATATAATCTAGGGCACATTTTGCTCATATGCGATACGAAATGCGTCCGCTCACATCGCCAACCTAACTCCATTCGCGCCCTCCAATTGGTCTGCGAAACATTTGAACTCACGACATCTTAACCCCCCGAGGAATTGTATCCCGGCACTAATTGTCGCATCACCCGCTCCTAACACCCGCGCCATCCATGCCACTAACGCAGGGAGACTCAGGCGGCGGGGGGAGGGGGCGCGGCGGCGGGGGCCACCCCCCCGGCCTCCCCTGGCGCGGCGAGACGGGCGCGTGACGACGACGTGTTCCTACGGCTAGCCGGCGCCGCCCACGACAACTCGCCCCAAGGGGTGGTCAGGGAGATGCCTTCGAAGGTAGGCACCACAAGTCACCCCGCTTGTAAGCCGCTTCGGACTTATGCCGGAGTATTGCGAGTGCAGCCAACTGGACAAATAATGTTTCACGCATTCAACAATTTAGCTAATAAATTACGTTCTATTCAAAGTCGCTACTGCCGTTTACCTACGGCCACCATAAAGGTTGGCGCGACCTTTACAGTGATTTTCTTTCGAGTTAGTTCAAAAGACAGACGAACAACAGATTACACTATGCTTCACGAATAGTCCAGCTCGACCGGTAAAGTGATGATCAGTAAAGAGGGAAAAGCAGTGATGGCTTCACTGAGACCAGTGTAGAAAAAAAATCTTTCAAATTATGGGCCCATTTCCTTGTATCAAAAATGTTGGGCCACTGATCTGAACCTGCGATTACCAGTCGCTAAGTGTGTACGCGTATTTCATTAATCGTTTTTTTAACGTTATGTTGTGGGTCACACAAATAGGTGTCCCGTGTGGGAATCGAACCCGCGACCCCCAACGCCGAAGCTAATACAAAGGCAAATACGTCACCGAGTCATCAATAATCTGTTTAACGAGATACTGGTTGGGGATGAAACACGTCAAGATCCTTGTATTGACCGCCATTTATTGTGTAGCAACGTGTGGCCGTCGGTGGTGGCGGTGGCGGGGCGTGGCTGCAGTGCACCCACGTGGCGGAGGGTCACGTGGGCGCAGCGCTCTCGCTAGCGGCGACCCCCGGCCTGCTGTACAGCGGTGGCGTCGGTGAGTATGGCGGCTTGTTAAATCGTAAATCATTTCTGGTATCGGAGAACGCAACCGATTATACCGCTTCGTAATTTGACCCAACGAAGTTTTGTAATAGAAGTAGCCTTAAAGTAACGTCGCTTCGTAATTTGGAGCTGAAATCGTCTCTACCTGTTCCGGCAGCTGGTTGAATAGTTTTCGTACCGTGCGTGGCCCTACTTTTCGTCCTTTTCACTGGCGAAATCGAACTCGCGTCACGTGAGATGTGCTCACGACATGAACATCAATAGGTTTGCCAAAACAGACGCTTGCAGATGCATTGAAAACCTTCAAAAAGTGAGCCCGCCTACGACACTCACCAGACAAAACGCGAAATTATAATTCTTCCAATCCATGGCAGTCTTCTGTGAGGCCCTGGTACTTCTCCTCTCTTACCTGACCAATCGCTCACAGCAGAAACTGCCGTGTGCGAACGCTCAGGTAGTCCGGGAACAATAACTAAATGAAACCAAACCGGATGTAACCGAACCCGCTGTAACCGAACCGGATGTAACCGAACCGACTGTAATCAAACCGGATGTAACCGAACCCGCTGCAACCGAACCGACTGTAACCGAACCGGCTGTAATCAAACCGGATGTAACCGAACCGTCTGTAACCCAACCGGCTGTAACCGGTTTTCCGTGCGCGCAGACCGGAGCGTGCGCGGCTGGGACCTGTGCGCGGGCCGCGAGGCGTGGCGCGGCTGGTGCGGCGGCGCCGTGTGCGCGCTGGCCGCGCCCCCGGGCCTGCTGCTCGCCGCCGCCGGCGCCTCCGTGCGCGCGTTCGATTCCCGCGCAGGCGCCCCCGTCGCCACCTTGTGGTACGCTCGGATCAATTGAAAAACAGAGATAACGAGATCGCAGAGTTTCCTGCCGGTGGTGGTTTTTTGTCGTCCAATAGGAGCTTAAAATAAGCCTATATTGATGAAAGAACTTTTGTTTTTGACTTTGACATTTGCAGGGGGAACCACTCCCGTCTCCCCTTCTCAACTGTTCTGCTTCCATACCGAAGACTCAAGCGCAGACTGAAGAAACGGGAGAGCTTAATAATTAAAACCTAACCTGATCTGTCTGGTCTTGGTTTGATGTTGATGTCATCACACTATCCTAAATAAATGGTGCCTCTCTGTCATATCGTAAATTTTATGGTTTATCGCTTAAGCGACCCAATTTGTTATAATCGTTTCGATTTGGTTTTACACGCGTCTGTTGGGAGAGCCCTACACTCTATAAAGTTCTAGAGTGGCAACCACGCACCGGGAGAAGTTCGTTGTAGCGTTCTAATGGGGAAGGCTTTTTTCAACAACTCGATGATGATATCTCTAATTCTCGTCCACTCTTACTATCTCATGGCACCACCATGCTATCGCGTTAATTTCCAGGTCTTCGGGCGTGAGTGGTGCATCAGGAGTGACAAGTTCTTCGCGTGGGGAGACCGCCGTGACCGCTCTGGCAGCGGCCGCCCCTCACAGACTATACACCGCCGCCGGGGATCGCCTGCGCCTGTGGGACTTACGCATGTACATAACAGCGGCTGGCTTCCTGAAAATATATCACTTGTGTGCTTTTGTGTGGAAGGGGTTAGGCTAGTGAGTTCCAATGACGGTAGGACCAGGCAACAGTCTTCGCTGTTGCACGAATGGGCTGATCCGCCCGGGTAAGTATCACGACCTCACAGAAGAGCAGCGGGAAGTGGAAGTATTATAAATATGCGTTTCGTCTGGGCCCACTTTATTATAAAAAGTGATAACGTGTTTGCAACCTTACGGGTGTTGCAAATGTCAATAGGCGACGGTTATCGACAACATTAAAAATCGCTTTGCGAACTGGGGGTTCACCTGAAAAGCGAAAAAAGAGCACCGTAACCTAGTAGCAGTCTTCCCTTCGAAAACATTGCCCTTTACTGTAGGATAACTTTAACCAGTATTGTAAAGACCTCGTATTTGTATATACTAGTGATCGCTCAGTGGTCGACAATTCGACCATAATTATGCATAATTTTTAGAAAACATCGGCATTCCGCACTACTCCATATAAACTATAAGTGTGGGATATTTCATACTCCTCCGTCCGCGCGATTTTCGTAAAAAGGGGTACAAAGTTTTTTCTTCTTCACGTATTAATGTATGGAACATGTCATTGCTTAGGATGGAGTGCGTGTGCAAGTGGTGGTCTGGGCACGCGGCGGCGGTGGTGTGCGCGGCGGCGGCGCGCCTCGGCCGCGGCGACAGGCTCGCCACCGGCTCCAGGGACCACTGCGTGCGCCTGCTCGACCTCCAGCACACGGACTCGGGTCCGCTGCGCCCCTTATATTGGTCCCCGGCTGCTGTCAATCTTGTCGCGTCGGAGACAGCCCTGATTGCGTTTGTGCTGCTCGTTATCGATTCCCCCAGTTAGTCCCCCGGCTACTGTCATTCTTGTCACGTTGGGGACAGCCCTTATCGCGCTTATACTGCTCGATATTAATCGATTCTCCCGATTAGTCTGCCTGCTCGACCTCCAGCACACGGACTCGGGTCCGCTGCGCCCCTTATATTGGTCCCCGGCTGCTGTCAATCTTGTCGCGTCGGAGACAGCCCTGATTGCGTTTGTGCTGCTCGTTATCGATTCCCCCAGTTAGTCCCCCGGCTACTGTCATTCTTGTCACGTTGGGGACAGCCCTTATCGCGCTTATACTGCTCGATATTAATCGATTCTCCCGATTAGTCTGCCTGCTCGACCTCCAGCACACGGACTCGGGTCAGCTGCGCCCCTTATATTGGTCCCCGGCTGCTGTCAATATTGTCACGTCGGAGACAGCCCTGATTGCGTTTGTGCTGCTCGTTATCGATTCCCCCAGTTAGTCCCCCGGCTACTGTCATTCTTGTCACGTTGGGGACAGCCCTTATCGCGCTTATACTGCTCGATATTAATCGATTCTCCCGATTAGTCTGCCTGCTCGACCTCCAGCACACGGACTCGGGTCAGCTGCGCCCCTTATATTGGTCCCCGGCTGCTGTCAATATTGTCACGTCGGAGACAGCCCTGATTGCGTTTGTGCTGCTCGTTATCGATTCCCCCAGTTAGTCCCCCGGCTACTGTTATTCTTGTCACGTTGGGGACAGCCCTTATCGCGCTTATACTGCTCGATATTAATCGATTCTCCCGATTAGTCTGCCTGCTCGACCTCCAGCACCCGGACTGGGTTCAGCTGCGCCCCTTCAATGTTGTCAAGACGGGGACTGCTCTAATTGCGCTTGCGCTGCTCGATATCTATTTCCCCGATCAGCCCCCTGGCTCCTGTTAATCTTATCACATTGGGGACAGCCCTGGTTTTGCTTGTGCTGCTCGCTATCGATTTCCCCGATAAGTCCCCCGGCTACTGTAAATTTTGAAGTTCAATGATAAAGAATGAATTCTTGAGCGCTCTACTTTGTAACGAACTCCAAAATAAGTAACTTTAATTCTTTATTAGTCTGTGGCCTCACGCCTTCATATTAGTTACGATCCATTTGTCAAGATCTCCATATGTATATAACACAATGAATACACAGAAAATGTTTTCACTAGTCTTCACTACATATAGGCCTATTTAAGCCCATACCGTCACTCCAGGCTCATGGGAGATCGGCAATCGGCGTCTCCTGGAGCCGCCGCACTACGACGGCGTGCAGGCGCTGCTGTTGACCGGCGAGCACCTCTACAGCGCCTCGAGGGACTCCAGCCTCAAGTGCTGGAGCCTGGCTGATGACAGCCTCACGCACGTCAGTACACAATGTCGCCTAAAAACTCTTTCGTGTCTCGAACTCTTTTGTTGCACTGTGGGAGTGCAACAGCTAGTACTACAACTCTTACTACACGAATAGGCCAGATCGACTGAAGTAGTAGTAGACATTAGAGGCAGCCGTTTCGTTCGGTGAGTGAGGTAACCGCAGGCTGGCCGACATTCTATCGGCTAGTAATATGCTTGCATAAATTGCTAATAGTTGAAATAAATTCTGTTGGAAATATATTAGCGTGGCTACTTAACATTAAACCAAGTAGTTCGTTGACTGAATTTGAATTAATTTTATAAAAAGTCTCCTTCCCGAATAAAACACTCATCTCGGGAGGGAGTAAGGCAAGCAAAAACGTTTCACTCGTTTTAGTCTGATCCCAGTAAGTTTTGATTTCGCTTGCCTACTTGCACAAAGTCCATAACCGTGACGGACGCGTTGCGCTCACAAAGCTAAAACGAACACGTAACCGCCGCAGAGCGTGATGAACGCGCACAAGGGCTGGGTGACGGGGCTGTGCGCGGCGGGCGGCGGCCGGCTGGCGAGCGTGGGCCGCGACCAGGCGCTGCGCCTGTGGAGCGCCGCGCTGCGCCCCGCCGCGCCCCCCGCCCCGCTGCCCGACGCGCCCCACGCCCTCGCCGCGCCCCCCGCGCCCGCCGCCGCCGCGCCCGCCCTCTACACCGCTGGCAGGTGAGCGCCCCCCCCCCCGCCACAACGCTCCCGCTACCACGCCCCCCGAACCGCTACCAAGCCCCTAACCCCCTCAACCGCACTATAGCTTTCCCCCTCATGAGAAATGAGACTGCTATTACCACGCCCCCCGAACACTACCAAGCTCCTAACCTCTCCACCGCACTATAGCTTTCCCCCATGAGAAATGAGACTCCTTTTCTTACGCCCCCGAACCGCTACCAAGCTCCTAACCAACCAAACGCACTATAGCTTTCCCCCATGAGAAATGAGACTCCTTTTCTTACGCCCCCGAACCGCTACCAAGCTCCTAACCAACCAAACGCACTATAGCTTTCCCCCATGAGAAATGAGACTCCTTTTCTTACGCCCCCGAACCGCTACCAAGCTCCTAACCAACCAAACGCACTATAGCTTTCCCCCATGAGAAATGAGACTCCTTTTCTTACGCCCCCGAACCGCTACCAAGCTCCTAACCAACCAAACGCACTATAGCTTTCCCCCATGAGAAATGAAACTCCTTTTCTTACGCCCCCGAACCGCTACCAAGCTCCTAACCAACCAAACGCACTATAGCTTTCTCCCCCTCAAGAGAACTAATCACGCTTAAGACTTTAGGCGACACTTAAGCGATGGTGAAAACGAAACAAGCACTTATTTTTTTTAGGTATCTCTTAAAGTTAGGGATCGATATTGAAAACGGGCATAAGGCTCCTATTCCCACGCCCTCTCAACCGATACCAAGCTCTTAACCCCCTTTAGCACGATCCCTTACCCCTCATGAGAAATAATTTCTCATCACTTGCTATAGTTCCTTCACAACACCTCAACGTTTTCCACGGAATTATCATTAATGATGGTTGTCAATCCAACGACGAATAAAGCCGGAGACATGACGTCATTCAATAGAATTCTTAATATCTTGATCGATAAAAAGTTTGATACAGCACATATACTTAAACCTAGTATCTACTTCAAAAAAAATATTCATAAAGGCTTGATGTGACTTCACCAAACGCTGTATAAATGACTATCAGGTAATTTATTTTACACTAATGTAGAAACGGGCAACACTAAGACATGACAGCAACAATTATATACGATTTCGTCAATTTTAGGACCACCCGCTATTTCGAACATAGCTAGAAATGCATTTATGCTAATTTCGGTTCTTATATATCGGCTATATTCAGCGATCATTTGAAAGAGTCATATCATGCATCTATTTTTGAATTCTATTCTTATTTAATTGATGAATTCTAAAAACTTCAATTTTATTTACTATAGCAAACCCATAATTAAAAGTACACTCATTTCTTTACCAAGTAATTCTACGAAGGTAAAGCCAAAACGCCCCATTGTTCTAGACGTCCTATAGTACGCTGTCTTCGTCGGATAACATTAGTGTTCACGTTAAACGTACCTATGTACTGTGCATTTGAGATTGGTGCGACATTAAGCTGGAGTGTGTTGCAGCGGCGGCGAAGTGCGCGCGTGGCGGATCTACGACGAGCAGTGAGCAGGTGCCCACACTCACAAACACACACACACAGCCACAAACGCGCGAGCGCGCATACACAAGCGCTTAACCGACTGTCCATCATCCAATCATACTCACATACGCATTTACTTCTGACATGCACACATTAATCCTAACTTATTTAAACAGATTCACACTCCCACCTACGTACAATTACACTAAAACACTTTATAATACACGCGCACAAACAAACACGTTGTTCGCCGCACAACAGCACCGTGTGAACTAACCCAACTGTCGCTTTTCGCTTCACCTAACAGCAACAAACAGCCTGTTTCTTTTAGCGGACTTAAATAACGTAAATTATGTATTCCTGGTTATTGGTGGAATGGAGAAAAGAGAGATTGAAGGAATGTCTAAAAGAGTATATCGTAAGATAAATAATTAACGTCCCGAACCCCCGCTATCGACTATGCCAATAGTAAGGACTGACAGACAGACAGTTACTCTCTATAAATTGATTGATCTGTGAAAAAAAATGTATTATTACAACTTGCTAATAAAACTGTGCGCAATTTTTTGTTGCAAAATAAACAATGTCGTGTAGAAGAAAATCACGACTTTTACAATATTCGGCGATAATGTTAGACGTCGACCTTCGGAAAGAGACAATCGTCTAATTTCGCCTTCATAGAACATTATCTCTGTTGCACGAAGCGCTAACATGGAGAAAGACAGCGTTGATTAGTATGTCTTATATATTTCTGTCTATTCAGTAGAACTCTCTATCTAGAGACCTTTGTAATTTCAACGATTTTATCGTTTCATCACACATTCACACACACTTATATAAACAACACACTGGTAAACATTCGCAAAACTCAGTATAATTAGAAGATTTTTATGAGAGATCCGCATATCCGCAGTGGCGCGTGGCGGACTTTATCTAAACGAAACATATGCCTCTAAAATGGGACAAATAGACACTGTCTCTTTCGCACAATGCGATGCGGCGATGTTCAAACCTCGGTAACGATAGGCAGTATACATAATGTTGATTGCAACATTCCAATCCTGTGTTTAACGTAGTTAGATAAGCAATTGCTTTACAAATAATGCAACGGTCATGGGAGCAAATTACCGTCAATTTTGCGAGATCACGATACCAATAATTCCCATAATCATAATGCTAACAGCTTAAGTGCATCACTCGAATGAACACATCATTATATACATCATTTATATTCAATATGAAATTTCAACTCTGATGCGGGCAAGCCAGGCTGTCGATAAAATTTTCGCTTTTTGTATTTATTTCCGCCAATCCGCAGTGGGGTCTCGTGGTGGACTGTGCCCTAATACCCTTTGCGCAGAGGACTTTGCCCAGCGGTGGGACATTATAGGCTGTCACCTTACCTTTATCAATACTAATGTGTCCCAATAATAATTGGGGCTCTGACAATCATCGCCTCTCACGCTACAACTACTGCATATTGATTTTGCTTTAGTTGTTTCCATTTAATAAACACTGTTGTTGCTATTTGTGAGACTAATGTTTCCTATTATTCATAATTTTACTTCTTGGTTTAATCTTTAAGAACAATTATTCATTAAAAAGGATTTGTAATTAACAATTGTTCTAAAGTTTAAACATGATTTCACCTCGACGCTTTCGGTGTTGTAATTATCATTTGTTTTAACAAATCTAGTTTGTTATTAGACATTCTATCTTGGACCATTCTCTTACTCTCTTCAGTAGAAAATCTCTTTTTAGAAAGTAGTTTTCTGTTTATAATTTAATCTTTAAGCACATTTTCCATGTAGCACTATCTATTAGCTGAAATAAGTTTTCATGTCATTCCATTAACTTTATAATCTTGAACTCTGAACAACGTATTTACTGTTTCGAGTTTTCGCGATTGTTTGTGTCTTAGTAACTTAATAATCTAGATTTGTAAACTCGTACCTAAAATAGTCTTGTTATCTGGATAAGTAGATCTATTTTCGATTCACATATGTATGTACAAAAAATCTTAGCTTATCTCGATACTATAAAAGTAATTTATCATTTTATCATGGTAATTCAAATTATTTTAAAAGTAACATTTTAACATTTCAAATCTCAATGAAATTATACTTACGGCCGGATTTAATTTTCTATCTATAGAAATATTAAATACTTTTTTTGGCAATAACCTAGTTTTGGTTACTAGCGATAGGTTTGTGACATTAGCTCCATATTACTGACGTCAAAATTCAAACTCCGGTAATAAATTATCGATACCGACCGTTAGTAAGAATTAAAATCATCAAATCTTATATTTTTCACTATTCGGAGATGTGAATTTCGATGTATGTCCACAGCGACGGGCGAATTCGCTTCTGGCGTCTGCGCACGTGCAGGTGACAGGTCGGGGCCTCCCCCTCCCCGCGCCGCGCCTGGAGGTGACCCCCGCCTGTCACCTACCTGTCACCTGCCTGTCACCTGCCTGTCATCTGCTTGTCACCCGCCGGCACTCGACCAGTCACCCCTTAACGTGACACTCCAACCGACCTCCGCTGACACGTAACACCACCCAGACCACAATTAAATAGGCAACAAACTAGATGGATGTCCAATTTCGCAGCGTGAGGGTATCGACCCCTTAGCTAAGTTGGTCAGTGTCTGGACGAGTTACCACGGACGACGCAGGTTCCGATACCGAATCGCCGAAAGGTTTTTAGACAATTTATCTACAAATAATGTTCGTAACTGACACGCAAGTCGCGACACGTCTGACTAGCGGTCTCTCTAACTAGTAACTCTAGTAACTCTTGAACACTTGACGACAAATCCACAAAAAGAACTATCAAGTTGAATAAATATAATTCGGTGGACCTGTTTTAGATTATAAGAATCGCATTATGAGAAATGTATTGTGGGTCAGTACTATGAGGGTATTGCATGTCGACCTTTTGAGAGAGACAATTGGCTAATTTCGATTTCGTAGCGTTATCTCTGTCACTCGCTACCTACGCGACGTTAGTCAGCCGACAAGTGTGCGACAGAGAGAACAACGTTAAATGATGATGATTAAATCTCTATTCAACATAGAAATTAAATTTATTAAAAGTTTGCTACAAAGTAGAATAGTGATTTTGTGTACATCAAACTTTAAAAGATTTCAAGTAGAAACAATTTAATCAGTCAATTTTAAAATAACACCTATATGTTATCGCAAATTATCAATTATTAATTTTGATGTATTAATTTTTAAAAAAAACTCGTCATTGATGAAACGTGATTTGAGCATTTTTTTATACTAAACAACTATTAAGACTCAAAGGAGGTTTAACCTCCTTTGATCGGCAATAGGTTTTTTTTTTAATTAAATTAATCTTTTCTTATTGCAGGCATTTGGATAAAAAAGCTTGAATATACAGTGGATTTAACATAGATCTGAATGTTTTTCTTAGGATAAATGGTTTTTAGATTTTCATAACAAAGTGCTGACTTTTCAAAAAACCATTCTGTATTTATAAGTTTCTAATTGGTTCAGTATATTTATATGTTTAAGTAGCACTCAAAAAGTAGAGAATGAAATCAAATTATGGGAAGTCATAAAAATCTTATGGATAGTGTTAGAAGAATCTAAGAATGAGTAGGTAGAAAAATAAATGCAAATACTTGAAATTAAATAATTCATACAGTATATATAGAATTTAAGTATAAACTATAGAATAATAATGCTTTTCACAGCAGTGTTTTGTTTGAATAATTTGATGTCTTAAATACAATGTCTAGATATAAAAGGTAAAGCATTTAGATCTTCTCACCTTTGTTTGTCTAAAGTGACTTTGAAAGAGAAAATTTTAGAAAGAGTTTAAAATTTCATAGAATGTTATCATATTGAATTTAAAGAGCCTTGCAAATAAAATTACCAATGACCTTTTCGTAACGATAGATTAATATAGAACTATCATTCTTATTATTATAGTTATTGTTATTTTATTTATCAAAAACAATTCATAAGATGTTCATTCACAATAGTTGCAGTTTACTGTGACTCCTAACTAAATTAATAAATACTGTGGATATGACTGCTATTTTTGTATGTAGAAATATATTGAATTAGTAACTATTACTAGTGAGTAGAGGAAGTTACACACACACACATAGATGAAGGTGTATACACAAACACACAATTGTGAAATGAGATTTATAAATCGATCCTATATTGAAAATTCATCACAAAATTGGAAAGTAACATTGTGTTGCTTTGAGGCCTAATCTAATGGATCTATCTGTCCCAAAAATGCATATGTTTTTAATTATGCTCTGATTAAAGGATATACTATTTTATTTGACTTACTGTAATAATAAAGTTATTTCCACAAAGCTTATACGACTCGCATAGATTAGTAGCAATAATCATGTCGTGATGCATGTTTCCCCGATTCCAAAATCACGTCAATAACGACGCACAAATTATCAAACCATCGACATTGGCATATATTACATCTAACTTTTGTACTGGTGTTATACTACTACGGTCCACACAACGTAGAAAAACATGTAATGACTGCAACAAAATTAGAAGACTAAATTAATCATAATAATAATAATAAAAAAGATCATGATATTGATAAGATTTATAGGATATTACTTAAGGTAAATAGGGAATAATGAAAAATTATTAAAGTAATGAACTCTCGCAAATGAAGAGTAAAATAATATCGACGACAGTACAATATTTCTATCCTTTTATGAGTCCATTGTAATGAAAATATTTTCTATTCTCAGTTCCTTACATATATTGTGAGATATTGTTGGGTACAACTTGTACAATATGTGTTCAGGAATTGGTACAAGATAGTGAAGTGCATTGTCATAATTAATTGCAATAGTCTGTGATTAAACAAACAATTATATTTTTATACATTCCTGCGCTACGGGTAGTTGTAATTTTGTAACCGCATAGGTATTAATGGATGCCACAGTGTAGTCAGTGCTTGAACTTATATTAATTTTAGAATGTAGAGATGTGCGTTACCACGCTTTTAGTAATGTTAAAAAATTAGGCGTTATTAAAAAATTAACACATCTTTGTACATCATTGTACTCATTAAAAACGAATGTAAAACCAAGAAGTTAACATGAAAGAAAACACTAGAATACTGTGGTCTGATGTTTTTTGGATGCACAAACTGACATGTCTTAAAATGTAAACTTATATACAATGGCGCGCATAAAATTTGTAATCAAAATGAGTAAACATATTTCCGTGCGAAATTTCTTTATCAGAAAATGTACGCTACCAAAACATTTAGCTAACAAAAAGAGACATGTCACTTTTGAGCCTTAGATATTCAAGTGGATTTTATAGATATTAAGTATCCAAATAAATAAATTTAACATATGGCTATGAATTCTGTGTATATCAAGTTTTTTATACTTATTTTGTTTTTGTGTGTCATGTTGGGTTCCTTTTCAGTATTATTGTTTTGATTTTAAAATTTTACATAATTTCTCATAAGTTTAGTATCACATCTTTATATACTTGTTACGATTAATATTCACAAAGCTTCATATTAGTATTTTTTATATTCCCATTCTTATTATAGATAGTCAATTAAATTGGGTAAAATAGAAACTTATTGAAAGAATTATGAAATATTTGTGAAATTTTGAATGAAACGAAGCGCATTAAATATTATGGAAAAATATCTTAAATTTTGCGTTCACGTTTTTCTGTTTAAATTTTACGATCTGAGAAATATACTAAAACCATAAGAATTTTATGTATTACCGAAATACCTGATGTGAAATTAGTTTTATTTGCTGACTTACTCATTTGTGTTGAAGTTTTTAAATCAATTCACGATTATTTTAATTTAAGCCTATTGCAATACAAATTATGTTATTCACGTAATTACCATGGTAAAATTCTTTTGTTTATATATTGTTGATATGGCACAATAGAAAAAAAATGTTTCTTTAAAATTAGTATGTAAGAATTTTTTTAACGTGAAACATAGATAAAATGGTACTTTATTGCGTGTTAATTTCTGAATTAAAAATTACTATCGCTAAATATTCCGGACAATGCGATATGGCAATATTGTAACTAAAATACAGCAATGGTTAATATTAAATGGTTTATCACGCAAGAGGCGTTATCCGAATATACTTCTAGAAATTATTTAATGTAAATTGAGATTTTGTTATTTTAATTCCCGCGTTTAATTTTTACACGCACTGCACGGATTTTATGATTTCAATTGCATATTTTACAAATGCCCAGTGTCAAATATATAATCTTGAGTCATTCACTGTTTTATTTAATGCGCTAACCTTGCTTACCCTGTAAACACGCATCAAGTTCAGATGTTTCTCTTACAATCAGTTTTGTTCTGACAGTATATGATAATGAAGATTCTACCAATGTTTTAAAAATAAACATTTATATTTTTTTAAACTTTGTGGAAGACATTGGTGAAATTTAATGTAAGAGATGCCCAAGAAGGCTTGAAATTTTTAATTTGGAAAATAATGCATGATATTCCTCGTTTTTCAACCAACATTCTCAAACAACTTGTGCTCGTTTTCAAACATTTATAGAATTTCTTCTCAACTTCGAGAACTTGTTACGAACAGGGGAATAATAGAAATAGCAAGTAATCCATGACGGCAGTCTACGCGACACAACTGTACGCGCTCGAGGCCAAAATTGTACTAACGTAGCGATGCTTCATGAGGTGTGTACGATCTGATGGAAGCAGATATCGAGATAGCTTTGACGAAAAATTCTTAGCTTTCCATTTCATACATGTGAACACTACAAAAATATTTTTGCTTCTCGTAACAATGACTGCAATAATAAAAAAAACACGTGATAGATATGACTGATATATTTTACACTTAATAGCAAATTGTCTATAGAATAAATACTGTTAGTATTTATATTTGGCGTGCTTGCTGTGTTTCCTGTGATGGTGCCCAGGGGGCGTGGCCGGCGAGCGTCGCCGTCTGTCCCTCTCACGCTCTCTCTCTCTTTCTCTTTCTCTGTCTCTTTCCCGCTCTCTATCTCTCTCTCGCTCGCGCTCGCGTTCTCTGGACCTGTCGCGATCTCTTTCCTTCTCTCTCGAACGGGACCGCGAGCGTGATTTTCTATCGCTGATTAAAAATAAAACAGTCTATTTTTACACTCATAAATTACTTTTGCAAGCATTAAATTTTAATCTGTATTTTATATATACTAATGTAAATATAAAACAAACATACAAAGTAATGCTATTCAGATTTTTGTGCATAACATCACGAGGATTTTTTTTTTAAATAAAAGCAGCGTAAAATTTACCTTAAACTTGGGAAACTTGGGTCATGAAATAAAAAGTGAATACGTTGAAAAAGTTTGCGTACCTGTGACGCGAACGCTTCGGTGGCGGCGACAAAGAAGGTTCTCTGGACTTCTTAGACTTTTTAGATGACGTGCTGGAAATAAACAATACATTAATAATAAACAGCAACCGATAGTTTTGCCTACATAATATATTCCTCGTTTAATACGTCTTTAGAATATTAAGCTATGTAAATTATGAATCTGTATGTATGCATTTTGCTAACTACTAATTTACATACATATATCTGTAAATTAGTAGATTGAAAAATTTTGCTTGACCACAGAAAACCGGCGTTGCTTGTAGTGAAAGTAATCTACTTTCGCGTTTTGTCTGTTGCTCACTTTTTAAAAGTTGCCAACACAACTGTAATCAGTCAGGTGTTGCAGATGTCTATGGGTTTACTTAACATCAGGTAAACACCGGTTCACCTGATGTTAAGTGATTAGATTGCCTGTTCACATAAAAAAGTTACTTACGAGTAGGCGTCCTCATCGGGCGGGGTGCGTCGACGCAGCTCGGGCGATTCGCGAGCTTCCTCTTGGGCCTCCTTCGCCTCTTTGGCCGCCTGAAATCAATGATTTATATGATCTTTGGACTCGAAACATTAATGGAAGTTATTTTTAGAGAGGTCGTCATTTGAAATGTGAATTATTCGTAGAAAGATTGTAGAAAAGTTTTCAGCACACGGCTTCCACCCCACGTCTTGTGGGTTACGGGCCGTAGCGTTCTAACCAAATGAACTACGCGGCCGATATCCTCATTTCGCAAAAATCTCGACGTATGCAGACGCTTATTTGACTTATAATTAATTATGCGGATGTGTCTGACCCGACTTAAACAAAGATCTTCTGAACAAGATAGAAAGTATTTTCAATAATTTCATAAAATATCTTCAATCTTAGAGAATATCATCATGTTTCCCAATATCGCACTCGGCTTAAATGCTTTACTGTTCAAAACTAGCGTGACTCTTGAATTCTACTTGTTCTATTCACGCGCGCGCGTGCGTGCGTGCGTGCGTGCGTGTGTGTGTGTAAAGGATACAAGACCCGCCGTACCTTCTCGATGAGCTTGCGCCACATACTTGTGTGTGTGTGTGTATATATATAAAGTATACAAGAGGGGTCGCACCTTCTTGATGAGCTTGCGCCTGTAGTGCTGCATCTGCTGGTGCGCGCTGAGGCCGGGCCTGCGCGCGCGCGCGCCCGCCTCCAGCTCGTCGCCGTAGCGCAGCACGCGCACCTCGATCTCGCGCAGCACCGCCCGCGGCAGCGCCTGCTCCTCCGTGCGCGGCGACTCCGCGCTGCAACCAACGCGCCCTCTGTGCCACCACTCACCAGTCACCAGTCACCAGTCACCAGTCACCAGTCACCACTCGCCAGACTCACGCTCCAAATATACGACGCCAACAAATTCTTAATACAACGACAGTGTGCGACTAACTCGCGTGTCGGCCGGGTGCACCGAACATTACCGACTGTAAACCGATATACTTAACCTAACATTAACATATAACATTTTAACATTACGAACATTTTGTGTACTTTATATAAACTATTTTGATATTACTTAAACTTTATAAATAACATTACCGCAACCTTACTACCGCCACACTCCTTTACAACCATAGTGATCTATTATACAGGGCGGATTTTTTTACACGAATACATACTTTGACATAATGTTAATTGAGCATTCCATAATTCAAATAAAATATTTTGAAAAGAACAATTTTTATTTTGAAAAGAACCAGAAAAATATCAATTCAAACTTTGTGTGTTTATCCCGTTAAGAGTGGTCAACCTATTGATAAGTGGGTTAGTAATTATGCGTTCAGCGAAAAGTTTTAGTGTAAGCAGGAATTTCTAATAGGGTGTCCATAATGTTTGAAAAATATTAAAAATAATGTTCGAAAAATAAAAAGGTCACTAGTACGTACCAGATTCAGATTCAGACTCAAATTTTGCATATACTCTGTTAACATGTCCGTTGTCTATAAAATCATCCTGTATATCATTGGCGGCGGTAATCACTCGACACCAGATAAACCGCCCACTCACTTACCTAGTTCTCACATAAAAAGGGCGCCTTATAAACTCTGAAGCGATCGTTCCGCTCGTGTCACCTCTCGTTGTGCGTGGGCGTGAGCGTCTCCGGCGGCGGCGGCGGCTCCACCTCGGGCTCCGTCGCCGGCTCGACGCTCTCCCAGCGCGAGGGCACGAAGCCGGGCGCCAGCCGCTCCGCGCCCACGCCCGCCTCCGCCTCCGCCGCCGCTTCCGCCTCCGCCTCCGCCTCGAGCGGGACGCCGTCGATGTCCTCCTCCACTGCACGCGGGCATTAAGCATCATTTTGTTTCGCATAGTGAAAAACATTAATATGATAGTAACTCCAATGATGGTAAGAAGAAATTACGATCCTCTTAATTAAATATTATTATTATTTTTAAACATTTAACCTACTTCAGGATAACATTATCCTGCGTTGAAAGTACGTTTTACAAACATAAATTTACAAGGGGGACAAACACCCAGATGCGAAATATCTATCTGTGGGTCACACAAATAATTTTCCCGTGTGGGAATCGAACCCACGACCCCCGACGCCGAAGCCAATAACCTTGGCAACTGCGTCACGAAATCATCAATTGGCGATATACAATGTGGCGCTACTAACGAGACCATAAACCAACACACACATATAAAGGATAACTTTTTAAAAATTGTATTAAACATTTACATTCTTAAAACACCAATCTTTACTGATTTTTGAGAGAATTTTTTCCAAAACAAACAATTTTAGAACACCTTACGTATAAAACTGTCAAGTTCATTTGTAAAGCTCACAAAGCATATGATCTGGTTGTATGAATTTAAAAGAGGGATTAGATACATACTGTTAGAAGGAGAGACTTGTAATGGCGACGCTGTGGAAACGAATGAAAAGTCTCTGAATGTACGAATCAGTCAGTTGTAGTTGAATAGGATGTTACAAGTTTTGTTTCTTTTTTATTTATTTAGTTTGTTTGAAAAATATTTTTTTAGTAATGGATTTTTTGGTACGTTTATATTTTTTATGATAATTGGTAAGTAGCGTTAGACGTGTGTTCATTTATTGTCGCGGTTGTAACGCCACACGCTGTATAAGTTACTATTTCAAGAAAACGTATATTTCTCTTGTCAAAGAAGTTTCGACTGAAGAGCCTATTATTTTCATGAAAAATCGATTTTTGTGCAATTGAATCGATTCCATCGACCACGATCGATTGCTGCATCTAGTGCAAAATGTCCTACCATAACTTTTTTGTTGCAAAAAGATTAAATACATTTCCAATAAATTGATTACATAGTATATTTTTTTGCATATTTATGCCACGAATAATGCGTTCTTAAATTATATCAAGATCGTTGTTTTGGTGTGGACCAAATGTTTGGCACAGTGCAGTTACGTTATTATTTATTGATCTTTTAAACTGCATCCATTCTTCTCGCCAACTACTTCAGACTAGGGCAAGCTCTGGCGCAAGAGTCCAGCCTCGTCACAGATCGGTTACCGGGGACGCCGTCGATGTCGTCGTTGTTGGGGCGCCTGGCGGCGGCGAGGCGTCGCAGCGCGGCCCCGTCGAGGGCGCCCTCCCACGAGCCCGAGGAGGCGGGCGAGCGCGCCCCCGACTCGCCCCCGGAGCCCTCCACGCCCTCGCCGCCCTCCGCCCCCTCCGAGCCCTCCCCCGCCGCCGCTCCGCCCGTGCCCGCCACGCCCCCTCCTCCTTCAATGCGATACAGTTTGTTGGCTTTTAATTACTAGACGAGGCCGATATTATGTTTACATTGTAGGTTACTCTTTATGGAGAATGGACTTATGCAAATAAGGTAATCACAATTTAAATTTACAGCTACCAGGTGGACACTTTTAAGATCGGCAAAGTTTTGTCTTGGGGATAATATACGCCAACAACGGACAGCCGCAAGCGAATGATAACGAGATTGTACAATAATGTTGATATCACCATTACGATCGTTTTAGTTATTGACGAATACCACTACGGCAACCTTGTCATGTCCGAGGAATATGTCGTTGATGTGCAGCAGGAAGTCGGTGGGGTAGACGGCCCAGTCGGCCCACGCCTGCAGGATACGGGTGACGCGCGCCCTGAAGCCCTCCTGCTGCAGCCGCGACGGCATGCGGGCCCAGGCGGCGCGCGCGGCCCGCATTATGTCCGGTAGCCGCTGCTGGAACCTGCGTTTCAGAGGCATTCGCTGCAGCTGAGTCATTCGAAGGCCGGCATGGGGCCAGGTGGTTTTAACAAAAGTATATGGTGCAACAGGTCGGAGAGCGGGTGGGGGCGAGGTGAGGGAGATGTGTCGGGGACGTACGCGGCGCGGAAGGCGCTGGCGTTGGTGAGCTTGGCGCCGGCGTTGTGCAGCAGGTCGGAGAGCGGGTGGGGGCGAGGTGAGGGGCGACGTGTCGGGGACGTACGCGGCGCGGAAGGCGCTGGCGTTGGTGAGCTTGGCGCCGGCGTTGTGCAGCAGGTCGGAGGCGGGTGGGGACGAGGTGAGGGGCGACGTGTCGGGGACGTACGCGGCGCGGAAGGCGCTGGCGTTGGTGAGCTTGGCGCCGGCGTTGTGCAGCAGGTCGGAGAGCGGGTGGGGGCGAGGTGAGGGGCGACGTGTCGGGGACGTACGCGGCGCGGAAGGCGCTGGCGTTGGTGAGCTTGGCGCCGGCGTTGTGCAGCAGGTCGGAGAGCGGGTGGGGGCGAGGTGAGGGGCGACGTGTCGGGGACGTACGCGGCGCGGAAGGCGCTGGCGTTGGTGAGCTTGGCGCCGGCGTTGTGCAGCAGGTCGGAGAGCGGGTGGGGGCGAGGTGAGGGGCGACGTGTCGGGGACGTACGCGGCGCGGAAGGCGCTGGCGTTGGTGAGCTTGGCGCCGGCGTTGTGCAGCAGGTCGGAGGCGGGTGGGGGCGAGGTGAGGGGCGACGTGTCGGGGACGTACGCGGCGCGGAAGGCGCTGGCGTTGGTGAGCTTGGCGCCGGCGTTGTGCAGCAGGTCGGAGAGCGGGTGGGGGCGAGGTGAGGGGCGACGTGTCGGGGACGTACGCGGCGCGGAAGGCGCTGGCGTTGGTGAGCTTGGCGCCGGCGTTGTGCAGCAGGTCGGAGAGCGGGTGGGGGCGAGGTGAGGGGCGACGTGTCGGGGACGTACGCGGCGCGGAAGGCGCTGGCGTTGGTGAGCTTGGCGCCGGCGTTGTGCAGCAGGTCGGAGAGCGGGTGGGGGCGAGGTGAGGGGCGACGTGTCGGGGACGTACGCGGCGCGGAAGGCGCTGGCGTTGGTGAGCTTGGCGCCGGCGTTGTGCAGCAGGTCGTAGAGCGGGGGGGGGGGGCGAGGTGAGGGGCGACGTGTCGGGGACGTACGCGGCGCGGAAGGCGCTGGCGTTGGTGAGCTTGGCGCCGGCGTTGTGCAGCAGGTCGGAGGCGGGTGGGGGCGAGGTGAGGGGCGACGTGTCGGGGACGTACGCGGCGCGGAAGGCGCTGGCGTTGGTGAGCTTGGCGCCGGCGTTGTGCAGCAGGTCGGAGAGCGGGTGGGGGCGAGGTGAGGGGCGACGTGTCGGGGACGTACGCGGCGCGGAAGGCGCTGGCGTTGGTGAGCTTGGCGCCGGCGTTGTGCAGCAGGTCGGAGAGCGGGTGGGGGCGAGGTGAGGGGCGACGTGTCGGGGACGTACGCGGCGCGGAAGGCGCTGGCGTTGGTGAGCTTGGCGCCGGCGTTGTGCAGCAGGTCGGAGAGCGGGTGGGGGCGAGGTGAGGGGCGACGTGTCGGGGACGTACGCGGCGCGGAAGGCGCTGGCGTTGGTGAGCTTGGCGCCGGCGTTGTGCAGCAGGTCGGAGAGCGGGTGGGGGCGAGGTGAGGGGCGACGTGTCGGGGACGTACGCGGCGCGGAAGGCGCTGGCGTTGGTGAGCTTGGCGCCGGCGTTGTGCAGCAGGTCGGAGAGCGGGTGGGGGCGAGGTGAGGGGCGACGTGTCGGGGACGTACGCGGCGCGGAAGGCGCTGGCGTTGGTGAGCTTGGCGCCGGCGTTGTGCAGCAGGTCGGAGAGCGGGTGGGGGGCGAGGTGAGGGGCGACGTGTCGGGGACGTACGCGGCGCGGAAGGCGCTGGCGTTGGTGAGCTTGGCGCCGGCGTTGTGCAGCAGGTCGGAGAGCGGGTGGGGGCGAGGTGAGGGGCGACGTGTCGGGGACGTACGCGGCGCGGAAGGCGCTGGCGTTGGTGAGCTTGGCGCCGGCGTTGTGCAGCAGGTCGGAGAGCGGGTGGGGGCGAGGTGAGGGGCGACGTGTCGGGGACGTACGCGGCGCGGAAGGCGCTGGCGTTGGTGAGCTTGGCGCCGGCGTTGTGCAGCAGGTCGGAGAGCAGGTAGAGGCGCGCGACGCGGCGCGCGGGCGAGGTGGCGGCGCCCTGCAGCGCCTCGGCCAGGCACTGCGCCACCTCGGGCGCCGCCTCCGCGTGCTCCAGGCACCACGCCATCGCCTCGGCCACGCTGCCGCGCGCCGGCGTCAGCGCGCGGATCAGCTCCTCCAGCCGGTCGCGCTGGCTGCGGGACGCGTTTTTATTACGCCATTATGTCAGAGGATAGCTAAGAGATTGCCGCCGCCCAACTTTGTAACACTAACACTTGGCGGTCGTGATGATTTTTTGCATTGCCCTATCAAAGTTAAGTACGTTCACGACACATCTCGTGAAAAAAAATCTTGTTCCAAATCATTTAACAGATTTTATCGTACTAAATGTTTTCTTTATATTTCACTAGTACTGACAATGGCTAAATTTCATATACCATTTGTCAAATGCCAACTGACTATGTTCTGATTAATTTACTAGACTCTCTCAATTAAAATTGTTACGAACAACACGTTATTTTATATTTTAAAATTTGAGAAATTTTGACTTATTCGTATTTAAAAACAAATTTTAACAAAAAATAGAGCGGTAATAAATAGAGAGGTACCTGTTGGAGAGGGTGCCACGGATGTTCTCCTTCGTGTCGTCCTCCTCCACGAGGTCGTCGGGCATGCCGGCAGTGTACAGGTTCATCACCGGCGGTCGCCACACGGAGCCGCCTTTAACAGACACGATACGCTCACGATTTTCTACCTTTATTAGGCGTTGAAGCAGTGTTTCGTAGATTTGTATTCGATATGAGTGCAATTTGGCCGAACAGACGTTACTGAGCTCTCAAAACGTTTGGCTGGTAAGGAATGAAACCTTTTAATCTTCCAATGATTTGTTCTCAGGGCCACAAGTCTTTGTAAGAACTGGAAGGCGAGTAGTGACGTGGTCGCGTGGGCAAATATTCTTTACTTGTCAACCGGTTTCCTTCTATGATCCGGAATTATTTTATAATTACATTTTTGAGGCCTGACAATAATAAGAAACACGGGTAAATACCGAAATACTGCAAAAAAAACGCCGTTTTCAAAACCAGTCGATCACCATTTATGAAGACTAAGAGAGAAGAGAGACCATTAATCAGAGAAGAAGAAGAAGAGTGAATGAGGGCGCACCCACCGCGGAACATGCGGAAGTCGTTGAGCGACCACTGCTTGGGCGAGTCGCCCTGCAGCATCGAGAACAGCTTCCAGCGGTAGTACACGTGTGCAGGCGACTGGTTCTCGAACAGGAAGCGGAAGAACGGGTTGTTCAGCTCCTTGTTCATGATGATCGCCTCGAACATGGGCCCCTCGCGGATCACGAACTCCACCATGCGGTGCACCAGCATCAGCGTGTTCCTGGAACGGATCACCACTCATCGAGGGGGGCGGAGATACTGTTGCAAGAACGGACCGAATCCGAAGAACTTTCACGGACTTAAGAACCACCGATGTAGAATGTTAGTAGGGTGCCTATCACCCTACTTACAATCTACTTCACTTTAGACTTAATCTTTTTTCTTTTTTTTTTAAACTGGACAAACACCCAAATGCGAAACAACATATTCATCACATAAATATTTGTCCCAAATGGGGATCGAACCCACGATCCCCGACGCAACTTTTATACCTTTACCTATTTACTTAGGTCGGGGACGCGCCACAGGCATTGTAGAAGTCCAAGAGCAGATATAAGACGAGAGCCTGGCCACAAAACTACTACATTATTAATATTATAATACACGTATTAATTTAACGAACCGAATTGTGCTGTCCCAAACAGTGATTCGTGTAATAAACACAGAAACGGGCAAACAAAGGGAAAAATGTAATATAAATGTGACTGTACTGTTGAATGCGTATTATAAATAAATATGTATTGCCACTGACCTCTCCGTCGGTGCAACAACTTTGACAATAGACTGTGACAATATCTGGTCATAAAGATTCTTATCTTCTGGATCACTTGGGTAGTACTCTCCGGGATGGATTCTTGGTATCTGTATAAAATCATAGATTCAAGTTTATTTCAGTTCCAAAACTTGATAAAATTACTTAGACATAAAAAATGTTAAATAAGGATTATTGGAATAAATTGTGAGTATGTGCAGCAAATGAGACAGCTAGGGAGTAAGAAATGTATTGACTTTGCAGTGATTATTTTATCTTATAACACCGCTGGATCATCAGTACTGACAATCGAGTTTAAAAAGCAACACACTACATAAAATTATTAACGATGCGATTCATCTTTTATTTGTTTTATGTGAATAAGTAGCAAACAAGCTGGCAGTTCACCTAATGTTAAGTGATAACCACTGCCCATGGACATTTGCAACACCCGTAGGGCTGCTGATGCTATGCCACCTTCTAATAAAGTGGGCCCCGGCTACCTCACTTAGCAGACGAAACGCAGAAGTGTAACACTTCCACTCCACGGTCTTGTGTAAGGTCGTGGTACTTACCCGGATGGACACTTCACTTCTCACATATAAAAGAAACACTTCTGGGTGACGGAGGGCGCACCTTGGCGGCGAGGTGCTTGGGCGGCTGCGCATTGAAGGGCAGGCCGGAGGGCGGCGGCGGCTTGGTGGGCTGCTGCAGCGCCGGCGGTATGTAGATGGGCACCGGCGGGATCACCACCGCCTTGCCCCAGCCCAGCTTCATCTCGTAGTTCATTATTTCCTTGCCTGCAAGGCAGAACAGTACATCATTCCTTAATAAATAAATAATTCGACCGCGTAAAACTAAAAAAAGATTAGCTATTACATTCACTTATTGTAAGCACCCAGTGTTATATTTTAATGTAATAATTGCAACTAACACGATTTCTCACCACGCACCGGGTTGATTGGGAGAGAATGCCAAAAGGCATTAAGTTCGCCCTATGTAATCTTTTTTATTTAAAGATTGCAATAAAGTATAAATAAAATAAACATATCTACATCAATTCTTGATGAATGTACGTTTTTTGTTACCACCAAAATGTACAAAAGTTTTAATTGTCTGCCATTTATTTATTTTAGAAACATATATCCATTCCTCACTCAAACCCTTGTTAGTTTTAACATTTTAAAGAATAAAAAATATTTAAGAAGCAAGTAACTAGTCGTATTATAACTACAGGCCAATAAAAACTGATCTTTTTATTATCATTACCGTTGATGCACCGGAGCGCCCTCTCTCCGTCCTTTCTCGACATGAAAGCGACGAAACCGCAGTTGCGCCCCCTCGCTTTTTCCTCGTCGGAGCGTGGCCACATTATCTTGATGCTGGCCAGTGGCCCGTACCGGCCGAAGATCTCCATCAGCTGTTGCTCCGTTATCTGTAATAAATAATCAATGTCCGACAGGATCACTGAAATCAACGATGACTCCGTTGCGAAGTTACCAAGGCATTAGCTTCGGCGTCAGGGGTCGTGGGATCGATCCCCAAACGGAACAACTATTTGTGTGACCCTCATAGTTGTGGTCGTATCTGGGTGTTTGTTCACGTGAAATTTATTATTGTAAAACATAAATACAATACAGGATAGTGTTAGCCTAAAGTACGGGCAATGTTTCAATTTAAAAAAAAGAAAATAAGCTGGCATTAGGTGCGAATTTCGGTGTCTTGGGTGGATTCTAAAATTACGAACACAGAACCCAATTAATTGAGCTGTGCCATGATTTTGATTGAGCCATCCATGCAGCTAAATTGAATGAATCATTTAAATTTTAAACTAAAAAAGACTGCAAAAAACACCAATAGCTCAAATAACATTTATTAAACTTCCCATACATATTATAATACTCTAACTAAGAGAACACAAAAAAAGATTAACATATAAACAAAAAAATTTCACTGGAAAAATCCAGCTTACCTTTGGGTTCAGGTTTCCAAGGTAAAGATTTGTTGTGTTAGGATCGCCGGTGTCATAGGAACCAACATCAGGCATTGCCTCTAATGACTGTTCTGATCCGACAACGCCTCGCTCACGTAGGACATTTTTATATTTGTGACGCTCAGATCTCTCCTCTTGAATTCTGAAAGACATTTTCAAAACTAAAATATTAGAAAATAATATTAAAATACTAAAGTTTTAATGGTATAATTGTAGTGCTTAATGCATAAACATGATAGCTCAGTGTCCGGGCGGTCGCCTTTAATTTAATATACTCGAGCAACCTAAGTCACACACCAATGAAATTGTCAATTTTAAGTGCTGAATTATCACATGCTCAGTGGTGAAGGAAAACATCGAGATTAAACCTGCATATTTTCGAAATAATAAGAAAAATTTAAATATTTCGAAGAAATGTGAAATCTGCCAATCCGCAGCGGGGCCGCGTGGTAGACTATGCCCTGATGATACCCTCTGTACAGAGGAGGCCTTTGCCCAGCAGTGGTACATGTATAGGCTGATACTTTATGCTTAAACACCCTAAATGCTTCATATACATAGCCTTAACACATAATTAAGCCGTAACATAATACTTCTAGACATTTACAGAAAGACTTCCTATGTAAGTCGTCGAAAAATACTAATTTGTGTTAAACAGGGAACAAATGTTTTTGCAATAGAAACATAATAATTCAATACAAACTGTCTTAATTCCTCTTTGAAAAGTTCCAGATTGCTTTTCTTCTTGTCCTTGGTTAGTTTTGCTCGAGGCCTTGATTGGGGATCTGCTCTTGGTGCAATCTGGGCAAGATTTCGTAGCACCTCCACCTCAGTTCCACGCTGCTTGTCGTCCAGCCGTGAGATGGGCTTATAGAGTTTGCCACGCTCAGATACGTCTTCCTCTGAAAATACAATAACAAGCCAATCCTTCATACAACATTTTTAATGTATTAACAAATCAAATCTCAAAAATTGCACACATTGAATCAGTCCTTCTGGAAAATCTTTATGTAAACTTTGTAGTGTATTAAAAAAAGTGAGAGCCAATAAGAAATCTAAAGAAAACATTATGTAAATATATGGAATTACAAAATTTTTTGTATATTGTATGGTATTGCTAATAAAATAACAATAACATCTGCATGCTAGGTGTGTCACTTGTGGTTTGGACACTAAAATTATAATATTATTTTGAGCCAAAGGATTATTAAACATTTTACACATGATTAAGTACAAGCGTTTCTATATCAAATTCACAATACAGATTTACCATTTAGGAAACCTAATTGTGATGTATTTAGAGCTACTTCACTATAATTGATGAATTGGTGTAACATGCATAGAACAAACAAATAATCAAAATTACATACTTCTTGCTCCTGCATCATATGTGCCTGCTTTTACCCAAACTTTTGAAGTAGTACTAGGTACCTCTTGAAAGGTCTCTACAAATTCTTTGAATACCTGAAATATAAATAAAAACTAGAAGAATAATGTTTCATTTATTTATACTGAAAAAAAAAATTACAAACACTCACTAAACATTTTATAGCATTAAAAAAAATATTACATATAAATAAAACCATATACAGATTTACTTAAAATGTAACATCTCATAAATATGTAAACTTATAATTGGAGAGACCACATAACATACAAAATTTGTTTTTTTTTATTCATTATAACTACTTCTGAGAATTAATGAGCACCTGTGTGCTAACAATTATATGTATTTTATTATAAATTAAATGAGTTTGTAAAAGCTAAAGGGCCAACAATTAAGAACAAGTAATTAAATCAAGTCAAAAATTAACTTTAGTTTTAGAAATATCCATAAAAGGTTTCCGTTTAGATGTTTAAGGGGGTTAAGGTGATGGGACCTTATTTTCACTTATATAAAAGTGAGAGTAATTTCCAGCCTTCTCCTTTACCCAGTTAAACTTATACAAAAATATCTAGAATAAAGGGCATAATTTATTTTTTGATGATGAATTTTATAATATTCTAAAGATTTTACATCTTTCGAAATACCTTTTCACATTTCATCACTTTTAAAAAACTTTTATAATTATTATATTCAATATCAAACAAAATTATTTATTTTTACACATCTGATCAAATAGTATCTTGATGTGTAATAAGTACTAAACAATTGAACTTATTATTTTTATATTTTTAGTATGAATGAAATGAAATCCAGCATTAATATTCTGTGTTTGAGTTCCACTATAGATATTTAAAGAACAATATCCAGTGCTGTACCACCAGTTTTTGCGGAATATAAGCTTTTTTTCACCCTGATGAAAACGGCAAAACAGCAACCAACAATGATTTGTTATAATTACTAATGTTAATCGGGTTTAAATTAAAAAGTACAAGACAAGAAGTCTTTATTAATATCAAAACGAAAGAATCTTACTTTCTTCAATAAGAATTTATACTTACATGAGCAGCGGCTTCCTCTTCTTCTTTTTTTCGGAGTTCTTCCAGTTCTTTTTTTGACAAACTTCGCGTACCCATATTATTGAAAAATAATAAGCTCCTACTCAAGCTCCTTTTTATTTATTAAAGGATATTCGTAATAATATGCAAAGTTCCTTAAACACGCATGATTAAGGGATGTTGATTACAAGTTTAGAGGATTAGAATTCATTTACAACAACATTATCGTAATAAAATCTTGCGGTTGATTAATTTATACAAATTACAAATTGCAATTCTAACCTAAAACCAGTATATAATTATACATTACAATTACATGTATTATCTATGCCAACAACAACTAGTGTAGAAGTAGAAACTTAGAAGGATTCAAACGATACATCGATGTTTTTCAAACATCGATACATAGTTCACGAACATTGATGTTGAAACCCAAAACATCGATGTTAACATAAACATCGTTTTTTATGAGCGCTGTCTTATGAACGATGTTTCATCAGAACGCCATTATCCGATCCTTCCGTAATTTACAGCAACACACAAACAGATACCTCTCTCAGTCACTACAGTAGTTTTTCTTATTTAATCTATTACTCGTTAACTCTGTAATACATTTTGTAGTTATTTACAAAAAGCGCGCAAAACGAAGAAATTGCTTTGCTCGTCTGCTTAATGCATAGCCATTGTGTTGTTTGTTGTTTAACGTTCACCTTATCATAATACCTTAAAATAATAAAATGTAAATGTAGCAAATGAGTCTTAACAAATAAATCAGTTAACACAGAAAAATATCAGTTAAAATATTGTTTTTTTTTTTTTATACCGTTAAGATGAAGAAGATTTAGAATCAAATTCTGCGTATGCTCTGTTAATATGTCGCCTATAAAATCAACCTATATATATATAGAGCTACTACAAAATATTGACGCACTAACTAAAACACAAACAATAAAAGTAAAGCAGAAACAGAATTTGAAATATATTATTCTGTCACTTTATAGAGAGAGATGCGTGAGATGAGATGTGGGATGTCATGAAGGGGTTAATGCCTGAGCATCATAGCCCAGGAACAACTCCTTCATGGTCTATCCATAATTATGATCTATTTGTTTATCGCAGCAACTAGCAGTACCCGGTCAGTGGTTATTCTCTGAAGCTGGAGCTACAATCACCCAGGAGACCCTGGTGCCCCAGCTCTGTAGTCTCAGGGTCATAATATAGGGCTAAGGTCTATCGTAAAAGGCGACTAAAAGGAGATACCGATTGGCAGCAGCACGAAGTGGTCTTGAGCTGCTGCAAAATGGCGAGGGAATTGGGGATGATTCATCCTTCTCCGAGGTGTGCTCACGCGCAGTACCGAGACACACCAGCGCGTTCCGTAGAAGATCCTGAAGTCCTTCCAAACCTACAGAAAGTACATATACCTTGGGGGTTTTAGTGGGTAAGAACCCCACACAACCCTGTCATGTACGGTATCTTTCAACGGTTTCCCCCCGATACCAAAAAAAAGCAGATCCTGGTACCCAGTTACCAGTAAGCGGTTTTAAAATTGTTATTTTTCAGTTGTCTTTTAAAGATATGTTGAATTATACTTGTTTTTGGTAAATATTTAACAATTAATCGATAAAAATTAAACTTCCTAAAATAATATAATGTTTGATTTGATGACTCCGTGGCGCATTTGCCAAACTATTGGCTTCGGCGTCAGGGGTCGTGGGTTCGATTCCCACACGGGACAACTATTTGCGTGACCCACAGATAGTTGTTTCGCATCTTGGTGTTTGTCTGCGTAAAAATTATGTTTGTAAAACGTCATTACAACACAGGATAATATCATCCTAAAGTAATGGCAATGTTTAAAAACTCTTTAATTAACTATTTGTTTCTTCTTATATTTAAATGGTCGTAAAAACATCGATATATCGTTCTTAAACTTCGATATTTTTAACATCGATGTTTCACTTTTAAAAACATCGATGTTTTTTACGAGCTATATCGCATTCCCATCTGCAACCTACATCTAAAATTTTTTTTTAATAAAGATTTTATAGCCTGGTAACCTTTATCCCAAAAATATACATCTACAAAATCAAACATATTTAGACAAGAATTACAATATAGACCCAATTCCCTCATAGTGACGTCCCAAGTTACCGCAGTAAAAACTAACCAGTAACCACTGACGCCCAGTTTCTGAAACATTGATCATCGTAGAAGTTAACTAATCAACTATGAAATGGCTTTTCAATTAAACCCTTTGAATTGATCATTCTGATCAATTCAGAGTTTAAGCATCCTTTTGACAACTTACACAACAATTGAATTAATTTTTAATGAAAGTAATATTGAAATAAAATTTTTATGTATTTGATAACTTTATGCTATCGTTTTGAAAATATTTAATTTTATTAAGATTATATTATTAATTTTAACCACAAATTGAACTTTGGTAAATAAAATACTTTTCAACACGGCAATAAACTATATCAAATGAGTCCGAAGATTTAAAAATAAAAATTATTTGCAAAATTTATATAATATAATAACAAATAGCAGCAATAAAACCATAAATCATTATTGATTACATATTTATTGAAAAAGTATACATCAAAAAGTTTTTCGATGTAAAATTAAAAAAGATGTTTTGTTGCGCAAGTAGAATTTATTTTCCTGCATGTTATGCAATATTGTTTTGCTTCAAAATTTACATATACGAAATAAAAAAATCGATGACAATAAGCCGTCTGGCAAAATGTTAAATTAGTCCACATCACAATAACTATATCTTTTATAGAACAGTAGTTTATAAATATATGTGCTGAATATATTTCCACTTTTGACTTAACAAATTACCAACTTCGAGAAGATATTGTGGTACAAAATTTATTTCTTTGTCACTCTGATTGTAAAAAGTAGTAGCCTCTGGTCATAAAATATAAATCGTTCAACAGACTTGGCTTATTGTACTTGGCTTATAAGATTTAAGAATGTTTCCGTTCTACCTCGTCTTTTACTTTTTCCCTACATACAATTAATTAATTATACTTATACCATTTAACACTTAGTATTAAAATATATAAATAATAATACAATTACATAGCAACAAAGAAATTATGTATCTAAGAATAATGCATTGATGAACGAAAGGAGCATTTTTATAAAAAATAAAACAAATCTAAAGTTTTTATAGTATAAATCATGAAATTTGATCGAAAACTAAAATCACAATTTAAATGCACTTAGTTTAACGTCGAATATATGATATTGCTGTTCTAAAGGCAAATTCAACAGACAACATTAATACCGATATACTTTAAAATATGAAATACTGCCTTAATTATACGGTAAAGCTAGGAAGAAATTCAAAAAAAATTACAATGCAAATATTAAATTTGTACCTTGCAAAAATATGTAAATAAATATGTTTGTTAATTCCAGAGACTTGCGCGTATCATTGGCTGACTTGTAACAACACTTGACAGATGCACGCACTAGCTGCACATACGTCAAACTATTAAGAGTAAGGATAATTTGTGCAATTAATATGCTTAATAGCTTAGTCTACAAGTAATCATGCCACAAAATTTACAAAATCTTCATCTGTACAGAGAAATAAATGTACACAGAGCGGTCATCATAAGACGTTGTGTGCGTACTGGGCTAAGTGATTCAGTACAGAGACGGAATCGGTCGATATTTAAAAAAACACTTTTTTATTAATTTCAATAACCACCCACATAATATGTTAGCCGAAAGACGAAAATCCATCATCAAATATAACCATAAACATAGGTAATAGCTCGATTATTTATTTAAAAACAAACAGTGTGTCATGTCCATGGACACATGCAATTTACTCAAAGGACTGAACAGGGTCTGCATGTTAAATGTACAGTTTGAAGTCTATTTAGTTGCTTTGTGAGCTATAAACAATGTAACAATTCCAACAAACATTAAAACTCTTATGACTCATGGTCAATATAAATCCTATAATGAATTTTTTAAATTCTGTCTCGAAGGCCACAGGCATTTACAAGACTTCATTGCAACCTGTACACCGTCCAATACACGGACAAGAGATTCCAATAGCTTGACGAAGGTTTCAATTATATTCATAATGTCAATCCCTCCATTTGATATGCATTGTGAGTCATGTAGGAAGAAATTTTGTTACAGACGTTTATAATCGCCTAATGAAAAATCAAATTTCATGTAATATTAGTAACAGCATGTTATTAAGAAATATGTTCTTGCGAAATATTAACTGCTTTCTTCATCAAGTTACCGTAATCCCATTCATGTACAATTTAAGATATCATTCCAAATATTAACAATTAGAAGCAATAATAACTATAGACAATAATTTCTGAAATTACATTACATTGGTAAAGAAAAATATTTTTTTATACTATTAAATGCACGTTACCGAATAAGATTGTACTATTCATATTTAGTAAAAAAAATATCCATGGCCAATGTCGAACGAGTAAAAAACTAAACATTACGTATTTATAAAATAAGAAGTAACAAACGAAAATTGTACTTGTGTATTTGATCAATATTTTAAACGTTTAAAGTAATTATCCACATACAATATACATCGATTATTTAATACATAATTATATAAAATCCTTCATTATTATAATACTCCAATGATACATACACCCACACGTCACGAGCGGCAAAAAGAACCATTGCGACTAACGGAACGCAAAAACACCTCGCCTGAGCAAGGCCCGAAAGGAATAGAGTGTAGAGGTAAGGATAACAATCTCTGTATGTGAACACCGTCCGTCGAAAGGAGCCCTAAGCAGTGGTGTTGAATTAATAAAAACACACAGTTTCAAGTCACTAAAATGCAAGGTTTCATTGTTCAAGGTCATACACCTTTGCTACACTACCGCCGTTCCAGCGGGTTGTAGATCTATTATATGGTTCTAAGTTCTAACCACTGGACGCGTTCAACTTGAGATCGTCATCCGTATCTCTACACCACACACCAGAAGGGCAAAAGTGAACCGTGCGGTGTACAACTTAACGTTCAATTCGCAACCGCGCGATCGGCGATGTGGCGGTCGTGTCCTTGCACAGGCTGTGCAGTCGAACCGTCGAATATACACTGTACAGGAATCGATTGCGCCCTCTGGTTGTCTCTTAGACGTCAACCGTGACGTGACGTAGAGTCGCGTGTTTTTGTCGGTGCGGGGTCGACGAATCGCGGGCGACGGAGGGGGGATTGCGTCTCTCCAGTCGAGGGGGAGGGGAGTACGTGCGGCGCTCGGGCCTCGGAGACGGAGGGGGGGGGGGGGGGGGGGGGGGGATTTCTCAGGCCTCTGCGTCGGCGCCCTTCAGCCGCAGCCGCGCGAAGTCTTCGAATATAATGTCGTCGTCGTGCTCCTGTCCGTTCTCGTCCCTGAAAACGGCGGGTCAATGTTAGATAAACGGAAAACATCCCTCAAAAACATCAATGATGAAAATCGCGTTTATGCGAGTGTGTATGAGAGTGTATGTGTGTATGTGTGTGTGTGTGTGTGTGTGTGTGTGTGTGTGTGTGTGTGTGTGTGTGTGTGTGTGTGTGTGTGTGTGTGTGTGTGTGTGTGTGTGTGTGTGTGTGTGTGTGTGTGTGTGTGTGTGTGTGTGTGTGTGTAAATGGTGGTCTTTGGAACCAATAACATATTTGAGTTAGCCGGCAGGACTGTTCCAGAGGTTGGCAACGCATCTGCAACACTAGGTGTTGTAGACGCCCATAGGCGGTGTTAATCGCTTAACATCATGCGAACCGCCCGCTCGCTTGCCTTTGACTTCATTTCATTTTTTAAATGTGGTAGGGCCACGCAACAGACTTCTCAATGCACGAATGGGCAGGCCCGTCCGGGTGACTACTATTTTAATAAAAGGTGGCAACGCATCTGCGACCCTGCGGGCGTTGCAAATGCCAATGGGCGGTGGTTATCGCTTAGAATCGTGCGACGCATTCCCACATAAAAAAAACCACGTACGGGTGGGGATCGAGCTGTATGAGGTCGTGGTCCTGGTGGGGCGCGGGGTCGGGCGCGGCGCGGGGCGCCTCCTCCTCCGGCTTCGGGTGCATCAGGATGAACGGCAGCTCGGCGCTCAGGTCGCTAATGGAATGAATACAATTACGGTTATAGCAATATTATTATCATCTTCATAAACATAATAATCATTTCAGCCTGTAAGCGTCCACAGCTGAACATATGCCTCCGCTAGGGATTTCCACTTCAATCGGTTTGAAGCATTGCCATGGCATATAGTAAATTTTAACCTTTCATTCGGAAAACTCCAATTAAAAGGGATTTTTATTATTACTATTATAACTGATATTTTATAGGTGTAAGTTTCAATAAGGTGGATTGTATTTCATACGTAAATTTGTGCAATTGGAAAACATGAAATAGTTATGTATTTTTATTATTTGCACCGATTTGCATATATAATGTAATACTTATTATTTAAATTGGTTTTAACACACATGCTGTACTTATTGAAATTGCTGTATCATTTAAATTATTAATGATGGCAGTTTAAGCCACCACAAATTATAATATTATGCTCACCCGCCAAGTGGACCGAGGCAAAGTTTCACTTTGACCTTGTACTGCACAATAATACCTAAGTTCTCCCGTTGGGATGGATCCGCGATCCTGGAATAAATAGGGAATCGTTTAAATCATCGTTCGATAACCACAACTGATTTCAATGTTTTACCATAAATACAAGAATGACATTTAATTATAGTTTGATAAACTGCTTACAGTAATTGCCGACGAGTTGTTGTTTATTTTATTATTTTTCCAACTCGTCGGCAATTACTGCCGACGAGTTGGAAAAATAATAAAATAAACATAATCATTAACATATAATGATGTGAGCTACATAGTTGAACTTTCTTCAGCGTCCACAGGGGGTTTGAAGATTGTATAAAAGTGGGCGTGGAATTGTCGTCCGCGACAGAACTATTACCATCAATGCAAGACAATTAATTTGTGGGTTCTTCGGGATGTTAATCTTGTATAGAGTGAGAAGAGAAGGGGCGAGAGACATGCTCCTGGGAGAACACCGACGGCTCAGGCAGAGAGGGCGATTCGAAAAGAGCAATTCAACACAAAAGCTACACAGATGGTGTGAACGAGCACATTAAAGAAACATTCCCTCGTATAACATATAGGGCAAAGACCCCAAATGAATTTGAATTCGAGGGGAATAAGATTGTTGGAGAAAACTTTGTGCTTAACATGTTGAGTATTATTAGATTCTCATGCAATTGAGGAGACTGATATGACGATAGTTCGGGGATTGAGTGGTTTATTTTGTTTGCGAATACCGATGACTATAGCTTCTTTTCATACGTTCGGGAATGAACAGCTAAAAAGTACTAGCCTGTAGGCAGATATGTGGCCTGTAAGTATTTAAAAACTTTATTGCAGATTCGATTATGACCTGTAGCAGAGCGAGGTTTTTATCATTTATTATGTCTTTGACTCCAGTTATGAACTGGAGTGGTGAACTGGATTTACGGATGCGCTAACTATTCCGCTTTCAGATTCATCGAGGGCTATAGAAGCGTCGTTAGTCGGAATAATAGTGGAACATATTCTTATAGTAAGCCAGAGAGCGCTAGTGGGAATAGCGTTTTGGTGACCCTACGTTTGTATGTCTTATTGAACACATGTGTGTTTGTGTGTATTACGAGTACTCACAGCGTACTGGAGGCCAGGTTCGTGTCCTCGTGCTTGAGCTGGCCGTCGAGCGCGAGCCCCCACTTGTCCTTGTTGTTGGCGAGCAGCGGCGTCAGCGTGAACACCTTGCTCAGTGTAAAGCCAGGGCCGACGGGGCACCCCTCTCTGAAATATCCGCATGTCGTTCTACTTCTGTTTCGAGTCTTTTCTTTATTCCAACTGCCGTGGCGTTTGCGACGATAATGTCACTAAGAATTGACAAAGTGGATTGAATACAGATTTTTGTGTGCTTGATTTTTTGTACTTTCGGATCACAAACTTTATATAACCTTTTAAGGATACGATAAGATAATTGACGTTGTAAATCTTAAACTTTGTGCATAAGCATCCATGGAAACAATTTTTAAAATTGAGGACTAATTTCTTGATCTCTAATATCTAGACAGTCGAGTGGCAGCGACGTCTTGACCATCGCAGTGTAGGACGACCACCCATAAGGTTGAGTGAGGACCTGTGAAAGTGTGTGGGAAGCAAGCCGATGGGTGCAGGTGGCTCAGGATCACGATACATAGGCCTATGTACAGCAGTGGACTTAAACAGGAGCATTGGACTTAAACAGGCTGAAATGGTGATGATGACGATGAAGTATGTTGGTTGAATGCTGTAAAGAGTGATGAAATTATGACCAGTGGCGGATTTGTAGTCCTGGCCGCCCTAGGCCCCAGCCCATGGAGTAAGTTCCAGCCGCCCCTTTCTCAGAGCCCATCACAGATCTTGTTGTCATCAGGGAATTTTTTGTCATGATTGGCCGCCCTAGGCCCGGGCCTATCGGGCCTTAGGGCAAATCCGCCACTGATGATGACGCAGTGGCCATATGAGTTAGTGGGGTGTGCAGGTGATGACGCGCTCTCCGCACTCACTCGGACTCGGCCTCTGCGACAGTGCACTTGTACTGGGCGGTGGAGAAGAGGCAGATGTCCGCGAACTGGCGCACGGACACCTTGATCCGCTTCACGGAGCGGTTCGAGTTGTTAGCGATGTGCACGTTCACGGCGATATTCTCGCCGTGGTGGTACAGCTCCTGCGGGCGGGCGGAAATGCACCTTCACGCGATCGTAATTAGGTTTATGTTCGCCCGTTGAGGGTACGATGATCGGTAATTGAAAATAGGCGTTATGTTGCCGAGCGATAGACTTTATTCCCATGTTCGAGGGATGTTAAAAGAAAAGAGACACATTGCATTGAGTGCACTATATAATTTCGTCTTATTTGTAGGCGATAAAAGTACTTCTTCCGGGCGGACCCAATACTCGTTCCCAAGTTTAAAAAAGCTGAGCTTCTGTGCCTCCCGTGCTGTCAAAAGATTGAGCCATAAGCAGTTCCACCGAATCACCCGTAGAGCTTTTCGTGTAAAAAATATCATTGTGAAAAATAAAAATTTGCTGTAATCGAGTCTGCATCTGAAATCGGACCTCACAAATAGACTACTCGTAAACTATCTTAATAAATGTAGAGTCAGAAAAACAATTGTGAATACCGTCAGCACATTAAATCGGTCTCCTGTGAGGCGTTTAAAGACGGCTAACTTACGCAAAGCTGTACGACAGTACTAAGGTGAGAATATTGACCTTGTCGAGTGACGCCTCCAGGTACATCTTGTTTGGGCTCATCATGAACTCCTTGGAAACCTCGACGGAGGGTTGCTCCCCCTGCTTGCTGGGCGCGTACATTATCTTCCTGATCGCGAGCCGCACCGAGTTTCTGCAATTGCTATCGATGTAAATGATCATGCACCAACTTTGCAAGTTGGCAACACTTAAACGGAAAGGACATACGCCCGGTTAATGGAACACTGATCATCGTAGGAGTCAACTAATCAGCTGTCAAATGTTATTTGAGTTGAGAGTTTGGATATTGTTATCCTAAAGCAAGGGCAATGTTAGCAAATCTACTGAGAGTGGAGACAGCGTAGATGCAGCGCTAGTGTTAGCAGATCTGTTGAGAGTGGAGACGGCTGACCAATGCCGTCTTAGGCCAATGCGGGGCCCTAGGCACACTTTGAGTGAAAAAAGTGAATGACAAAAACATTTTTCTGCTATGACATATCTTATAGTTTTTTATTTATTCTTTACTAGCTGCTACCCGCGACTACGTCTGCGTAGAATAGGCTGAAGGCGTAACATTCAGACAGAAAGACAGATATACATAAAATATGTATATAAATTATAGCCTGTCTTATTTTGATGTACAAGCTATATTTTTGTAAAGTTTCATTAAAATCTATTTAGTAGTTTTTGTGTGAAAGAGTAACAAACATCCATCCATACATACAAACTTTCGCCTTTATAATGTTAGTAAAGAAGTAAGGATAAGTAATAAGTAAGGGAGTAAGGAAACTTTTGCCGGAATATATCCACCATAAATAGATAAACACTTCTATGGCCCCCGTGTCGTGGCCCCGTGTGCCTTAAGGTAAAGACGGTACTGCCGACGGAGGCCTGACGGACGGCTGACGGGCTACCTCTTGTGCGGCTTGTCGTCCTGTGAGTCGGCGACGAAGGCCTTCAGCTCGTAGTCCACGCCGCAGGGCTTGCCCGTGTCGCCGGGCGCCGGCTGCAGGGTCACCGAGGCGGGGCAGTGGGGCGGCAGCTCGAAGTAGAACGGGTGCGCGGCCGGGCCCAGCTTGCGCACGAGCCGCTCCTGCAGACGCGTGAGGGGCCGCTTGGGGGCGGACGTCACCGGGTAGATCTGTTGCGGGAACGGGCTCTGTGCATCTGTTTCGTCGTCATTTGGTTTTCGTCGTCTGTTTTTCGGGTGAGAGGGTGGCTAGCGAGCTGGCGGTTAGTCGGATGTTAGCTGATAGCCGCCGCCCGTGGACGTTTCCAACACACATTGAAGTGAGCACCGGGTACCTCAGTCACCAGATGAAAGGCAGAAGTATAAAACTGGCACTTCACGCCGGTCTTCTGTGAGATATTGGTACTTCCCCGGACGGACCTGCCCATTAGTGCAACAGAGTAAACTGTTGTGTGTACAACAGTTATAGCCATACTCACTGGACAAAACACTCAAACGACGAGACTTGTTGTTTTGCGAGGACATGGTACTTTTCTGTTTGTACACAGCAGTGTTTGCAGATAGCAGCAGTGTAGATACGTATGGTCTGATTAGACTGAAGAACTGACAGAATGGCAACTATTTATACTATACCATTACGTCAAAGAAAATGTTTGCAATCTCTACAGTGATGTTGAACATGCAACGGTTATAGCCCCTGGGTCGCTTGCTCGATGGCCAATTCAATGTACCTGTTCAGCGGCCAGATAGAGGTCCTTGCGGAAGGTGAGCCCCAGGACGTCGAGGTCCTCGCGTCCATATCGGAAAGCGGCGAGCACGTGCCCGAACACCTTCCGCTCCTTCACGTACTCAGGATCGATGAGCACCACGCCATCTGTGCGCCGAGCAAAACTGAATTGTAAGCCGCTGGTTAAGAGTTGAGTTGAGATTTTTTATGTGAAAAGTTGACAAGCGAGCAGGCGGTTCACCTGATGTTAAGTGAATACCGCCGCCCATGGACATCTGCTACACCCGAGGGTTACAGATGCGGTGACAACCTTTTGAAAATTGGGCTCCGGCTACCTCACTCACCAATAGAAACGCGAAAGTATTTGTCATATTTCCACTTTTCGCCGGTCGGTTTTCACGTTTTTGAGGTCGTGGTACTTACCCGGACGAGCCTGCCCATTCGTGCAACAGCCGAGGCAAAGTTTACATTACATGAAGACGTAGGTCGTGTTGGATGGCGCTTTACTTCACATTTCTATCTTTATTATTGTGTAAAGTTTTACCGGTCATAGAGCGTGCAGGAAGACTGTGGTTGCCACACCCATTTTGTTACGTCATCATAACGGACTTGTTAATACCCTACGAGTAGAGTTATCGTTGAGAGTTATCATGTTGAATTTTCATGTGTGTTTTTAGGTCAGTAAATGAGTTACATGACATAACATCCGATATTATATACTATAAGTGTTTGAAACTAGCCTGGTTCGTGGTTCCATTACTGCAAATAGTAACATGATGTCATTATCCATTTTGTAATTAAAACAACCAAATAACTGCGAATATTCCTCTACAAGTGTTTAAAACTAGGAACGGTTCGTGGTTCAACCCTCAATTAAATTGACTAACTCGTATCGCTATTCTGGCACCTACAGCTTGTTTGCTGACGGGCTTTTACGGTCACTTCTCATCAACCGAGGTACTTTTAAGCTCTCAAATTCTTAATTATGTTATTTTACTTTTTTTAACATGAACTGGCTAGAGCCAAATAGCCGGTCCACTTGATTGTATACTTCCATTGAAAGTATAATCTAAGTATAAGTCCATATTATATTAAATAACTTTCCAGGTATAATTGTATAGCTTTTAATTTGCTTTTATTTTTCGACATCCAACTCAATAAAGGGTATAAAAGTCGCAGACTTGGAATCCGCTTGTCTTGATAAAGCGCGGTAAATTATGTATGTATCTAACATATGGGAATGGGATATTAGGTACAAATGGAAATCGTCGGATTTATCTTAAACGCTTAACATGACAATCGTCTCCATCGCATACATATATTATGCCGCATCCGACACCGACATTTCGCCGTTATATCAACGATGTGGAAACCTGGTTGATGCTCTGAGTAAATACGACATCACTAAAAATGTATATCGCGAAATATTGATACAATTGTTACAAGGACTTGATTTTAAGTTCAAGATGAACCTCTATAATGATTTTTGTTTCGGAGGAGCGTCTCGCAAGAAAAATGTGGCTGCGACATATAGCGGGCCGTACATACATCATTCGGAATTCGTGTAACTCTTTTATGAAAGCTAATAAAATCCATCGTTGTAAATCACGGCTTACGACCTTACTGATTTATGACACGTACGCGTTATTATTTAAAAAATCGGCTATTTATTCCATGCTATTTCTATAGGTCTGTCGTTGCCAAAAATCTTTTTCGCAATGCCTGTATCCCCGCATTCGAAAGACGGTGTGTCTCACTCTAAATGGTTTAAGAACTTTGCTCTTAAAACACAAATTTCCTACTCAATTTCTTCTCTTCTCTTCACAATCTTTGAACCGTAGCCAAAACTTGTGATGTAAAGATTAAACTAAGTTTAATGTTCTATATGTATAGATTTTTCATAATACTTACCAATCGGGTCTACATGTGTGATATGGTCTACAAAGTCCCTCTTCCCTAAGTAAACTGTGATCTGTGGAGAAAAAAAACAATGCATTTTACATCATGAACGAAATTAATATTTATATAACTCACAGAAACTTGTATTACCTATTGTTGATAATTTTCAAAATATACACCCACGTAACAAAACAATAACAGGGGTTTAATTATACTAGTGGTGGTACTACTATGTCCAAAGACATAGAATATCATTGAGTGCCAGTTCCATTTTTTGTTAATCAAAGTTTTAGGTCAAATACAACGAAAATGTATCGCGAATGTAGGTACATACACAATTTAGGTTGTCGGATTGTATACGTAATCAAGCAACGAGTCAATATTCACGGATAAGCGGAAACTGTCGACTGGGCAAAACGATTCGAGCGGAGGGACAATGTATGAAGGCGAATCGGCAATATTAAATGCAATGTCGGGGCTGGCTTTTTATTGCAAATGAGCAAATGAGCACGAAACTGAGGACATTCGCAATAACGGAGGACTCAAAAATACGTTGCCGGCCTTCCGAAAATGAGCCTCAAACAATATTCCAGATGGTCTTATATGGATCCAAATATATAAACGAAAAGGTAATAAAAATGCCAATTTATTCTGACTCAACGTCATGGCTCGTGAAGTTTTAATGATTTTCGTGCAATGAGACTTGAGAATAGGCAGTCCATTTAACTTTTTCTAAAAGTTTTAAGTCTTACTTTAACATTGTCCAGGCGTGTGGTTTTCCGCGAGACGTGTGTCTTCGTATCCGCGGCGTAAAGTGGCGAGATCTTTATTTTTTTTTTTTTACAGCCAAATCTTTTTTATTTGTTTTGTTTCTTTATTTCGTAAAACATTGCCCTCACTTTAGGATCACATTATCCTGTGTTGTAAGGACGTTTTTACAAACATAAATTTCACGCGGTCAAACACCGAGATGCGAAACAACTATCTGGGGGTCACACAAATAGTTGTCCCGTGTGGGAATCGAACCCACGACCCCCAACGCCGAAGCCAATACCTTGGCAACTGCGCCACGGAATCATCAAATCACTTTATCCAGAAGACGCAGGTTTGAATCCCGGCTATGACGAAAGCTTTTCGCCACTTTTTCTGTGTTCGAATTCGTTCACGAACGGGATCAGCTATTGTTGATTTGTTGTAATTGGCAAAATATTTCACATAGGTTCTGGGAAACTTGGTGAAGGTAAATACGACCACAACAGTTCAACCGATTCTTCGTATTTGTCTTTTTCGCCCCTTTGGGGTGAATCGAAAATCAAACGAACGATATCTGTCACATAGGCAAATATAACACAGCCATACTATCCAAACGAGTTGAATGTTTGCCACATACAAATATATTTATGTAATAATAGCTATGTGAAGGGGCACCATAATAGTCCCATGCTACATTTAATTATTGTATTGTGTTTCGTCTATAATAAACTTTTTTGCAGCAATCCATTAGATATGTTCTACCAAAAGTGAGTACATTCAAACATAGTATCACATGCCCATATTGTGTTTTTACCCTTCTCTTTTTTTATTTTTATAAATGTTTTTTTTTTACTTTTTAGCAGTATAGAACATTTAAAATTTTTATAGTGCTAATCTCTGCACTTAAGATTGAACATCAAAATATGTAATACCGAAGACGTGGGTTCGATTCCCACAGCGGCGACAATCTTTTCGTACTTTTTCTACATATTTTAATCATGTAAAACATTGTTTCAATGACGTCGTAGCATTTTGTGTAGTTATATTTTTAACTGACAGTATGTAATCGTTTACCTCATTAACCGACTTCAAAAGTAGGAGGTTCTCAATTCGACTGTATTTTTTTTATCTTTGCTAGCTCAGAACTTTTCGCTGAGAGAACCGATTTCGATGATTCTTTTTTTTATTTGAAAGCTGGTGCTTCTGCTTCCCATGTGATCACATATTAATTTCATTCGTATTGGATCTTGTACTATACTTAGGGATACTCAATACTACAAACAACAATATATACTATATACTTAGGGAAGTCCTCAAAATCAATTATAAAATGAATACAGAGCGAGATATTTGAAGTCTGTTTTGTTTTTCGTTAGTAAAGCAAGTCAATTTTTTAACTTTATTGCGATGTGCATATTACTGTTCGCTGTTTTATTTACCGAATAAAATATTCTGTCTTTTAACGGTAGGGAGATACACTGTCGGTGAGTGTACCATACCTTGCCATTGGGCGAGCTTTTCTTGAAGACCCTCGTGGCCTGACGCTGCTTGTTGCTGCCTCCGTCGTCCATTCTGCCGCCGCTCCCTCCGCACCGCTGCACCGTCGATTGGTAATTATAGACACGATGTAAATCAATACGAAACAAGGTCGATACTCATCAGGGGGTCGAAAAAGCTTTAATAAAAAAACTGTTGAATGAAACAAAAAAGCCGACTGTAATAAAACTATTTCTATTCCCCTATTTTTTTTTGCGGGCATCATAGTATACTACGTAGCTCCGATCATCGAAAAGAATGTAACTACACTCATATATCGAAATCCTTCAAAAGGTTAAGGCTGTAGAAAGTGCCAAAGAATTAGACATACATACATTCACCTGACTAAGTGATAACCGACGCCCATTGACATTTGCGAGCAGCCGTAGGGTTGCACCGATAGGCACCTTTTAATAAAGTGGGCCCCGATTACCTCACTCACCAGACGAAACGCAGAAGTGTAACACTTCCACTTCACGCCAGTCTTCTGTGAGGTAATGGGGCTTACCCGGACGGACCTGCCCATTCGTGCAACAGCGAAGACTGTTGCGTGGCCCTAAGAGAATTATAAGTACGTCTCTCGAACCAATTGATTCGAGTAAAGCTAGAAAACTCTCGAACCAATTGATGGAAATTACTAGAATACTGCGTACTTACATAGACCCGTTTGCGGCTCCAGGGTGCGCTCTACCGGATGATGGTGCGCAGCCGAGCCGCCCTGCAACAATAATACTTACATGAAATAGTGGTCGATTGATAGTAGATAATTGTTCGATATCTGTCTGTTTGTCCAGTTTTATTTGTATTTCTTTTGTTAATTTGTACTGTATGTATTGTTTTGTAAGTCTACACACACAGGATTATCTTCGCCTACAGTAGTGATGATGTTTTATAAAAGAAAATGGAAAAAACAAGGAAAGTATCTCACTTAATATTGTATTGTGTTGGTTATACATTTAGTAAAATAATGCTAAATTCTATGTTTAATGTATAATTGTTAATGTATAATTGTTTTATGCCCCAATGAGTATTAAAAACAAGTATGAATAACGAGAAAACTTTAGTGGGAGTCCTTCGATGTTAGCAGAATACGAAATCTCCGTTAAATTAGCTCAAATTATTTTAAAGAAAAAGGTAGGATATTTTGCTCTGTGGCAGGTGCTCGCGTAGAGCTGTCTCGCGCCAACGCTGATAATAAACGACATAACGTTCGACTACGAAACACCTCGTAATTTATACGATTGTCACGGGTATCGGGTGACCGACGAGGTAAATGTTACCGGTTTAAGGTTACGTTTTGATGTAACGTTAAAACGTAACCCAATAACGTAACATTTTACGCGGCACTGTTCGATAACTCAATTCCGAACGGACGTAAAACACAGAGGATAGATTGGAACGCTTCACGAAATGTCATCGTACAATCGGTGTGACCTTTACTAGCATAGCTTTGTTCAGTATTTATTTTTAAATAAACCAAAATAATGATAATTTTGTAACACGATTTTACTTGTCATGAAAGTTTGCAGCAATATTGCGTATATTTAAAGGACCTTGGGGTAGGGATGTTGACAAAAAAAATATCGATATGATGATATAAAATATTTAATATCAAAAACGTCATTTTTTCAAATATTTAACACTTGATATACCTTTTTTTGGACAACGGGTCCTAAAGAGAAAAATAGCCATATATCGATATTTTTCTCCGATATATCGAGGCCGAAATTGATATTTTTATAAATATCGACATATCGATATACTTCTTCATTTGGACATCCCTACCTCGGGGATTAATAATGAGCGATGAGACTCCATTACCGGTACCTCTATCGCAGAATCTCACGGGAGATAAGTGATAGCTCATCGAGGTTAAAAGACACGATTAAAGCCTAATAATACGTATGACATTTCCAGATTGAAATTCATGAAAATACCGCATAATAGTATAGAAGTGCACATTATTTTTGTCTTTAGTTGTAAACGATGAACCTTTCTTGTGCCAGATCGCGTGTGACGAACATAGTTTTTATCTATGTGTTTTCGGTGTGTTTATTATATCCATAATACGTATTTATTTTAAAAATAAAACGATGTTAGTGTATATATTGTTTTTTTCAGTTACTTTTTACTCCAATCCACATCGCGTCGGGGCCGTGGTGACACTCACTTTAGATTGGCTAAAACCAGAAAGTCGTTTCTTGGTAGATGCATCCACTTTTATAATAAAATAGGTGACATCCACAAACAACTAAGTAACAATTTGTAAAAGCTACCTTAATGGCAAGGGCCTACTATAATGTAAAAGGACAAGGATGTGTGGAAATGACTTTTGCTCGGCACTTGCAAAACCCCTGGCTGCTGCTGATTTTATACCTAAATAAGTTTGTATAATTGCCTCAAAAAAAATAAGAAAAAGAACAAGACCGCAGAGTTTCTTGCCGGTTCTTCTCTGTGCAGATCTAGTTTAGTGAACCGGCGGTAGATTTTTTGTCGACGTTCAATAAGAGCTTAAGTTAAGCCCATATTGAATAAATATACTTTGATTTTGACTCATAGTAAAAGTTTTGCTTAGCTTGGGTCCATATAACGCGTGCAAAAGTGTTTAGATCCTATCTTCAAATACATATTTGATACGCTGCTCTGCTGAAAAGATGAATACCTATAACAATATAAAATATTTCAGTAGATACGTTGAGCTTATGAATAGAAATTAAAAAAAAAACATTTAACACGAAAAGTGTTCTACAATTTCCTTTGATTATATATATAGATATATTGTGTATACACACAAAAGGACCTTCAACATCGAAGTCTTCAAAACTAAAGGTCTCTGCTCGGTGGGACCGCTTTAGATGTTTATTATTTTGGTGACAACTAAAGTTCCCTGCTCGTGTTAGATTAGTGCTCGTTTAGATGTTTATTATTTTTGTGAGCCCGTGGCCTAGTTTCCGAGCCTTGGGCGGCGTGGGTCCTGGGTGCGATTCCCACACGGGGCTACTATTTGTGTGATCCACAGATTGTTTCGTTCTCAAATCTAGGTTTTATCCACGTGAAGTTAATGTTTGTTAAACGTCCGTACAATGTAATGTTATCCTAAAGTTAGAGCAACGTTTAAAAAAAACCAGCCAAGTGCGAGTCGGACTCGCGCAAGTTACGTTAGTACGCTCCATGTCTATAAATACGGCAAAAAAATTGTGTCTGTTGTATGGGAGCCCCACTTAATTGTTGTTATAGCTGCAACAGAAATACAGCATCTGTGAAAATTTCAACAGCCTAACTATCACAATTCCTGAGATACAGCCTGGTGAAAGACGGACGGACGGACGGACAGACAGACAGACAGCGAAGTCTTAGTAATAGAGTACCTTTTTACCCTTTGGGTACGCAACCCCAAAACCTATTTGGGTCTTATGCGAAAGCTGCCAAGGGCATTGTTTCCTGGCGGAGCGATTGCCACACTACTTTCAACTACTGTAACACACATCCAATCGCGTCACAATTATAAACCGACGATAACAAGTATAATTTTTAACATCGAATATATATAATTTTTAACGTCGAATTGAGAAACCTCCTCCTTTTTTGGAGTCGATTAAAAATGTTCATTAGCAAAGTTCAGTGCAAGACCAAGCTCACCACCATTGGAAGTCATCGATATTGGATCATCAATATTTGAGCGTGTCCGATACAAAATTAATAATTTACGGTATCAAAATTAATAATTTTAGTTGACAGTGACGAAACTTGACAGTGGGACATCCAAAGCTTTCAAAGTCTATCCGTAGGATCGTTTAAATTAAACTGTAACAACCTGTATATGTCCCACAGGTGGGCAAAGGCATCCGTACAGAGGGTATTATTAAGGCATAGCCCAAACGCAGACACCATTGCATATTGGCATACTTCACATATTTTCGAAATGTTTTTGTTGTGGTTTTCGATGTTCACCGTTGGGCACGATAAGTCGGTACTAAAAATTGCTTTTAACAATTTCACTGAAGCCGGCACCGGAATGTGAACTCGGGTTCCTCTACATTGAATTTAAGTAAAGCGGGTGCAGCTATAAAAAAATTGTCTCATTCAATTATAACATTCTACTTCTGTTTTTTCTTAAAAACACTACTTAACGAAAATCGAGCTACGAATTCGATGCCTGTGTGTGTGTGCCAATCGTTGTGACGGAGACAGACAGGGAACACTATTCACTTGACGTCACGAAGACCGGGGTTCGATTAATTACGCGTCACACCGTGTCACGTCGCGTGACATCGGCGATACGATGACTGGCCGAGGACGGTGATGGAATCCGACGTGTCACGATTGCTCGCTGTGCGCCCGGCGACACGCGTCGGGATAATCACGTTCCCGGTCGAGTGCCCGGGCGGGGACCACGTCGGCGGTCGACGAAATCGGGACACATTAGAACATTATCGACTATGGAGGGCCTATGAAGGTTCTAAGTCATGTATAGCGTGAAACGTTTTCATTTAGTTTGTGCATTATGCAGATTATTTAAAATATACTCGCAGAGTGACCGGACTCCGCTCTTAATAGCATCGTCATGTTCAGCTATTTATTTCGTGTACTTATTTATTCACTAGTCTAATATTTCACTGCTCAGAGCAGTCTGATGACACATTTGCTTGCGGGAGACTAAAACACGGTTGTAATATTTTTAGAGTAGAAACATTAACCAACATGTTTAATGCACATGTGTATGGTTCAATAAAGTAGGTAATGATTATTAATATTAAAAAAAAATGCGTACAAAATATACGGTTTAACATAACATAGCGAACGGGCCAGATCGTTGTCTTCTAATCCGCATGCAAACAGTATTATTTGTATAAAACTAACTTAATAACAAAATTAACACGTGTCGACAGAATTTTTAATAACATCGCAACTTATAGACGTGGGCACATTAAAATATTGCAAGACTCGTCCACCGTCGACCCATTTCCATGGACGCCCTACACGGGCAAGGCAGCGGCGTCGACTCGAATTTACTTTTCCATTTATACCGGGCTCCCTCTGATTGAACGCTCGTTACCTGCCGGCCCTCCGTTGATCGAAATTTTCCCTCCCACCGGCCGAATCGGTACAAGGCACGTTTCTTTTTTTTTTTTTTTCATTTTATCGACATTTTTATCTCATTTGCTATAATATAATATAAGGGTAAACTGATAAAAAAGCAATAACAGTAATCTCAAATATCATAAGAAAATATCTCTATCATAGGCAATACTAAAATCAATTTTATTATTATAAGAACGAGATTTGAGTGGGCCGATTTAAATCGAAATCGTAGCTCTCATCGAATAAAATTTTAGTTGTTTAAGTAAAAATCAAGTTAGATAAGCATCATGTTAAATGAAACAATCTTTACGAATTCTCTCGCGTTCATTTTTAGGGTTCCGTACCCAAAGGGAAAACGGGACCCTATTACTAAGACTCTACTGTCTCATGAGCCGTGATAGTTACGAAAGTTGAAATTTTTACAGATGAATAAATTCGAGTCGACGCCGCTGCCTTGCCCGTGTAGGGCGTCCATGGAAATGGGTCGACGGTGGACGAGTCTTGCAATATTTTAATGTGCCCACGTCTATAAGTTGCGATGTTATTAAAAATTCTGTTGCCGCTATAACAAAATTACTAAAAACAGAATAAAAAAATATTTAAGTACGGGTGTACTCTCATACAACAGACATGATTTTTTTCCCGTGTTTATAGATAATGGTATGGAACTATTCGTGCGTGAGTCCGACTCGCACTTGGCCCTATTTTTTTAAATTCATTTCGCGATGTTTCGAATGATTTACAGCATTGTCATAGGACACTAATTTATTTTAACGATTTTACAGTATCTATTTATTTACAGAGATCTCGGTCTAAGTAAAATAACAGTACCGGAATTTAACGAAGCGCTCCTTAATATTGAAATAAATTTACCTTATTTACAAAATGCTTGCAATCTGAAACGCGTATTTGCGAAAACCGTTTTGAATACAGAAAGTTAACTTGGAATATGTGTAGGGCTTCGGCAGTGTTTCTTTGAAACCAACCTTAAGTATACATAATTATATTCACGTTTACCCTTCAACGGAAGAAACAATTTACACCTCGCAAATACATAATTGCTCAGTTCGAAACACATCGTCCATTCCGCTTCGTGCTCTCGTACGGAACGGACGTCTCTCTAAGACGGAGGGCACATGCCACCCGAATTAGACGCTACTCGCAACTTTGGTTGCAATTTAAATATTTGTGCAAGTAGTGCAATAGTTTAGTGTTAGTGTAGTGTTGTGCTCGTAGGCAGGTTCCTGTCCGTAAGTAGAATTCTACACACATTTCTCGCCTCAGAGGCGGCATTGCCTAATTTTTACCTAGCGTTCGAATCCGAACAACGATTAGTCGTTGAATACGCCAACGACAGCCCGCCTTCACCGGCAATCGCATCGCCGCCATCTGCGCCCGTAACCCCGTTGCCTTCCGCGACGCAAGAAGCGCCCGTCGCGTCGACATCCGCCGCTGCGAACACGCCCGTCGTGCCTTCCTCGCAAGCTACCCCGGCCTCCTTGTGCACCGTCGTACTCGACTCATACTCGGACGGCGGATCGGATATGGAAGTAGATTTAACTCCCGCCGGTAAACCCAATGACGACGGCTTCACCGTCGTCACTGGACGAAAAGAGAAGGGCAAAAATAGCCCCGCCGTAGATAGCGACCCCGAAAGCAAGGCCGCCACCTCAATTAATAGATCCACTGCGACGCCCGCCAAAAAGGCGGCCGCGGCAGTCCAACCGGCACCCGAATACGCCGCCGAAAGAAAAGCCAAGCCTCCTCCGCCTATTATCATCCAGGAGAAAGCTAAATGGCATCAAATTTGCGTGTGGTTCGAACGCCACAATATTCGAGACCCCCGGTCGAAGAACACCCATGAAGGTATCCGTGTATACCTCGATAGCATCAATGACTTCCGCCGCGTCACTAAATATTTATGCGAAAACAAAGTAGGTTTCCATACCTACTCGCTGCCTGAAGAACGCAAACTTCGGGTAGTCATAAAGGGAATCCCGAAAGAGTCGGATGTCGACAATGTAAAAATCGACATCCGCACTCAGGGATACCCGGTGCACGCCGTTCGTCGCCTACGTCACCCCAGAACCCGTGTCCCGATGGACATTGTAATGGTGGGCTTAGCGAACTCGTTGTTGAGCCTCCACGGAAGTCAGGCGTTGTTGCGCAGTGTCATAACTGCCAACACTATGGCCACACAGCCCGCAACTGTTTTGCTCACCCTAGGTGCGTCAAAAGCACCGGTGACCACGGCACGACAGAATGCACGCGTCCTAAAGATTGCGCAGATCCACCGGACTGCGTAAATTGTTTGACTACCGGCCACCCGGCTAGCTACAGGGGCTGCGCTAAAGCTCCAAAAACCCCCGCGAGGAAAGCACCCGCAAAAATTACGCTCGCGAAAATCGCGGCCCCGAAATCCACGCCGGCGAAGTACATCCCCGCGCCCGCACCCGTCGTAAACGCCTGGGCGAAACCTCAGGCAGTCGCGCAGGTAGCCGCGCCTCCGGTCGCCTCACGACCGACGACATTCCAACCGCAGCCTGTCAAACAACAAGCACCGAGGCCGCAGGTGCATTTTATTACACCGGTCGTTTCCGCGAACCAAGACGACCCTTTTGCCCAAATGGCAAACATCTGCAGCTTCATGGAACGCATAAACCGGGAAGAGCTCGCCGTCCTATCTACAAAGTTATCGGCCGCCACATGTGGCACCGATCGACTTAATGCGCTCAACGAGCACTAAAAACTTGTAGACGCCCTTTGGGTGTTTACAAATCAACCATAAAGGTTTATAGTCCGGGCAATAAAACCGCGCTTCGCCGCGTCGTTACCTAGAACCGCTACTAAAACTAAAATGGAAAGTACAACCACAGGTAGATTAAAACCTCGGGCTCTGGTTGTTTCGTATTTTAACGCAAACGGCATTAGGGGCCAAAGGGACGAAATCGCAGAATTCCTTCGCGACTATAACGTCGATATATTTCTAGTGCAAGAGACCTTCTTGAAACCTAGCAGACGCGATCAAAAAATCGCAAATTATAATATAGTCCGCCACGACCGGTTAGCAAACCGTCTGGGAGGTACCTTAATATATTATAAACGGTCCTTGCACTGTAGCCCACTCGAAATCCCAGAGCTAAGACATATAGAGGCATCCGCGTGTAGGTTAGCGCTCACCGGCCACAGGCCGCTTGTACTAGTTTCAGCCTACCTCTCGGGGAATAAAACTCTTCTACAAAACGATTTAGAAACGCTACTTAACTTAGGCCCTTCCGTGATAATTGCAGGAGATCTAAACTGCAAACACGGCTCATGGGACCCCCAAACTTACGCTAAGAACAACGGTAGGCAGCTCTTTAACTTATCTGACGATTTAAATTATAGCATAATCGCTCCTGTGACTCCCACAAGATATCCTACGGTGGACGATTACCAGCATTCGACACCGAGTATTCTTGATATCATGTTGTTCAAGGAGGTCTCTCTCGACATCGCGTCGATAGAGACAATCCAAGAATAAGAATCAGACCACAGGCCGGTCCTGTGTAAACTGGGCCAGA